ATTCATCTGCTGAGTTGTGGCACAAACAACTTGGTCGTTTGAGTGAGAAAGGAATGGAGACTCTCACCAAGAAGAAAATGCTATCTTTGAAAGGTTTTGCCTTTAAAAATATGCGCTGATTGTTTGCCTTTAAAAATATGCGCTGATTGGTTTGTCTGGTAAATCAACATAGAGTTTCCTTTCCAAAGATCTCTTCTTCCTTCTAGAAAGCCTGGTATTCCAGAATTGTAACACACTAAATTTTGCTCAATGGGGTGACAAATCCTTGAGTGGTTGCTCATATTACGTCAGCTTTATTGATGACCATTCTAGAAAGGTGTGGGCTTTACCATTAAAGTCAAAAGACCAGGTATTGGATATGTTTAAAGTCTTTCATGTCATTGTTGAAAGACAAACGGGAAGAAAGTTGATATGTGTTAGAGCTGATAATGGTGGTGAGTACAGAAGATCATTTGAGAAGTATTGCTCAGAACACGGCATCAGACTTCAGAAGACAGTTCCCAAAACTCCACAACAGAATGGAGTTGTAGAGAGAATGAACAGGACCACTGTTGAAAGGATTAGATGTATGCTCTCTCATGCCAAACTTCCAAAAACCTTTTGGGCTGATTCCAAAAACCTTTTGGGCTGAAGCAATGAGTACTGCAGTTTTCAGAATAGTGGTATACGTAAATAGTTACCGTATGCGCTTTCGGAAGTTTAGCATAAGAGAGCATACATCTAACCCTTTCAACAGTGGTCCTGTTCATTCTCTCTGCAACTCCATTCTGTTGTGGAGTTTTGAAAACTGTCTTCTGAAGTCTGATGCCGTGTTCTGAGCAATACTTCTCAAATGGTCCTTTGTACTCACCACCATTATCAGCTCTAACACATATCAACTTTCTTCCTGTTTGTCTTTCAACAGTGACATGAAAGACTTTAAACATATCAGCACCTGGTCTTTTGACTTTAATGGTAAGGCCCACACCTTTCTAGAATGGTCATCAATAAAGCTGACGTAATATGAGCAACCACTCAAGGATTTGTCACCCATTGAGCAAACATTAGTGTGTACCAATTCTAGAATACCAGGCTTTCTAGAAGGAGAAGAGGATCTTTGAAAGGAAACTCTATGTTGTTTACCAGACAAACAATCAGCGCATATTTTTAAAGGCAAAACCTTTCAAAGATAGCATTTTCTTCTTACAAACTAATCGAACAATCAGCGCATATTTTTAAAGGCAAACCTTTCAAAGATAGCATTTTCTTCTTGGTGAGAGTCTCCATTCCTTTCTCACTCAAACGACCAAGTCGTTTGTGCCACAACTCAGCAGATGAATTTTCAAATGCATTCACCACTCTTGCGCAAACTTTGACCTGGGTTTAGTAGAGGGTGTTGAACTTTCTCTCTCTTCTGAACACCAAGTTACCTTTGGAAAGCTTCCAAGTTCTGTTGACAAACAGATTTGCATAACTCAATTCATCAAGACAATGAACTGAGATCAGATTGAAATTTGCCGTAGGAGTGTATCTCACATCTTCCAACTAGAGATCATAACCGGCATTGGTTTTGATGCACCGTCATATGTTGGTTTTGATGCATAAGCTTTATCCCAATGCCGCAGAATTTTCACCATATGTGCCATTCAAAGTCATATGTGCCATTCAAAGTCTTGACATGGCCTTAATCTCCGAGAGTAAGTGATGAAAAATATTTCTTCTTTGAAGAAATATGATATGAACAGGCAGAGTCAATAATCCAAAGAGATTGTTGACTAGTAGAACACTCACTGAGATGAGCATGAGAAATCAGCGCACTACCATCACCAAGTGCGTCAACATCAATAGTTATTGAAGCTACCTCCGTATCGTCTTTCTTTTCCTCATCATTTTCTTTGGCTCGTTCCTTCTTCCATTTTCTGCAGTGCCTTTGGATGTGATCGGGCTTGCCACAATGATAGCAAGTGACACCTTTTCTTGACTTGGATCTTCCTGTGAATTTTCATGTTTTGTTTGGATTTATGGGGATATCTGCGTTTTGCTTCTCCCCTCCTTTCTGTAACTGCTAACGAGTGAATCTTGAGTTGCTACTTCGTTACCATTTCTCCTTTACGTCTAGTTTTCTTCATTCAGGAATACTTTCCTTAACTGTGGTTGAAGGTTCAGATTCCTATCTGACATATTACTCAAGGCGTGGAAATCAGCTTCTCTTCAACTGTCTTGGCAATGGAACTCAATCAAGAATCGTAAGAATAGTGTGCTGCCTGAGTCTTCTAGCACTATTTTTGACCGTCGTCGAGTTGGTATTCAAAAATTTCTTGAAATTTTCCCAAGTGATCTGAAGCACTTTCGCCATTCTCTTGTACTTCAGATTTATAAGCTTAATTGATTAAAAGCTTTGTTCTGGGGCATTCTATATACGATTACTATACTGTCCTCCAACTTCTTCCAAATTGAATACGGCATCTTTCTCCATGAGCGATATGATTTACGATGCTATTCAACAGGAACATCTGAAGCACTTTCGCCATCTCTGTACTTCAGATTTATAAGCTTTATGATTAAAAAAGCTTTGTTCTGGGCATTCTTCCGTTCATACATGTCCTCCAACTTCTTCCAAATTGAATAGGCATCTTTCTCATGAGCGATATGATTTACGATGCTCATTCAACAGACTGCCTGACGGTTGCGACTGCTTTTCTGTTAGTCGACCGGTCTCATTTATTGAAGTTGGTCTAACTACTTTCAACTCAATTGTTTCAAAGAGAACTTTGCAGCATAGAAGATCTTCCATTAATATCTTCCATACTGCATAGTTTGATGAGTTGAGTCTAACCATTGTGCCTGTTGTTCTATCGTCCATTTTTGACTTGTGCGGAATATTATCATCACTAGAAACCATATACGTGATAGTAGTATATGTGAATAGTAACAGTATACGTAAACAGTATCTGTATGCGTGAATAGTACCTGTAAATAGTACTATGTGTGAATAGTGCTGGGCTTAATAGTGATGGATTTATCAACAGTAACGCCAATAGTACTGTTCACCACCAATTTTGAGTTACTATCTCACTATTCATCACTAGGTTGATTCTGCAACGTCTTTTTAAATGAACTGCACAAATGGATTCGTCGTTATTTTCTCGTCATTGTGGTATACTTATTTTCAAAATATATCTACGGATCCGGTACCGCTGTCTACTTGGCTAGATCTGTTGAAACCTTCAACTCTGATACCACTTGTTAGGGCCCGGTGATAAAAGTTACGAGAATAATTATGCAACGAAAAAATAAAAATATGAAAAAAAAATTTACGTGGTTCACCCTTAACTGTTTAGGGTTACGTCCACGGGACCAATTTAAATATTTCTTGCACTAAAAAAAATAGTAAGTACACAAAGAGAGTAATATAAAATAGTGGCACTCAAAAGTGTTTTCCAAAAACACCTCAAAATTATCTTCATTATTTTTCTCTATACTAGTTTTAGAACACTTTCTAAAACTTGAAGAACTCTCTAAAAATCTCTTTTATTTATTTATTTTTTGCTCGTGTGTTTTGAAGCATTGGATCCTCTCTCCTATTTATAGGAGAAGGATAACGCGTCCACCGAAAAATATAACGCGTACGCCGAATTTCCTTCTCTCTTTTCCTTTCTATTGTCAAAGATCATGGGTTCCACTAGGACCCATAAGTTTGCCCTTTTTATTTATTTTCAACACGTGTGGGTCCCACCGCATATTGTCGTATGGTTGCTTGCCATTTTTTTTTCCAAGCTAAGATTTATGAATACATTGCGTATTTTCACTCGAAAAACTAGCAACTAAAATTGAAATATTTTGCAGATACTTGATAAGAATTAAGAAGAAGTACCTGATTAAAGAATGGCCAAGTTTCCATGTTTTGAGATCTTAAGAGTATCAATATTAATTGCTTGGTAGATTTTTCCATTTGGTCTTAACAACTTTGGCCTCTGTTTCAAGAACATTACATACAATAGTTAATTACAGGTTCTGTAATTAATCTTATTTTCCTTTCTCTTAACATGCCAAATGCATCTAAATTTAGAATCAAATCATTACTAATTATGAAACAAGTATCTGTTAGAAAGATTGAGTTCGCCAGTTACAGATCAGTTAAACATGTACAGCAGGAAAATAAACAGAGAGAGAACAGAGCAATAACCTTTGTTTGAAGAACTGATTGAAATGTTGTATATATGAGCTCCCATTTTCCATTCAGCAAATTAGACTTCAAAGGCTCCTTTACTTTGTTCACTGCCTCAAGTTTACGAGCAATCTGATCAAAACGCATAATCCATAATCTGATCAAATTAATGATAATTAAAGGTAAATTAATCAAGATCAAGCTCTAACCTCATCAACTCGTTCTTGATCCTTAGGTGTAGCCTTAGCCCCACGATCAAGAGGAGCTATAGCCTCGAATAATTCTTCTTTAAGGCTATTAACATCTTAATCTTTTTTCAAAAGACCCTGAAAGAAGGAAACTCTGGCCCTCCATTTCCAAGAATCAACAGCATCATAAATCTTATTCTTGTTAGAGCTTATCTCAATATGGGTATTGGGTTTTGAAGACAAGGAAAGAAATTTTGATGAGAGAATAGTTTGTGGAGGATGAGAAGTAGTAATTAAGAGTTCAGTTGGGGAGGTAAGCGTTTTTAGGTTAGCAGCAGCAGCAGAAGTGGCGGCGGCCATTAGTGGTGGTGGAGCAGTAGGTAAGTCTTTAGGCACGTGTCTTTATAATATGGAAAATTGGAAATTTTTACATGAAAATGAATCAAGGTGAAAACTTGTTGATATTTGAGAATTGAATAAGATTACATATCAAACTAATAAATTAAAGATTCTTTTAAAATTTATTCCTAAGAATAGTTGTAATCAAAACATATTTTAAATTTTTTTTTTAGAATAAATAAGAGGTAGGTAAGTCTTCCCTGATTATTTCTGATTTAATATGGTAAAAAAATTGCCCTAAAAAATTTCCTTAAAAGAGTTGAAAAATATGAAGAAATTGAATTTTTTAACTTCAATATTGCTTACTTAATACAGTATTTTGAATGTATAAAGTCTATATGTACAGATACAAGAAAAAAGAGCCATCACATGTTTGTATGCAAAATCTTGCAGGCCTGAGGAAATAGCCAACAAGCAAAACAATTTCCTGTATGTAACATATTTATACAACAAATGAAGCAAGTTTCTCCTTCCCGTGATCAAGCAAGACAGTTACAGTGCCACAATGCGATTGAGACATCAGATGGGGACGCGATACGATGGATCAACCATTGTCAAGATGAACAAGTTTCCTTTGTCACCCCTGGAAATTCTGTTGGAAAAAATTATGCATGTTTCAGTTGAAGTAATACAAGTGAGTTCAGCTACATAGTCGCAACAGAGCCAAAAGATGTGCTTTGAAACTAATAAATTTGCAGTGATTTTCCCAAATGAACAAGAACTAGTCACATGATCATCAAGGATTGAAAGAACCCCTTTTTCGGAAATAACAAAAGAATATTACAAGAAGCCATTTCAACAATTGGTATGAGAGGAAAATATAAAAAGGATTGTGATTCTTGAAGTTAAAAATTAGTTAATTTCTAGTCCCAGAAACAATAATGTCAAGTCAAACTCACCGCAGTTCTTCATCCAAATATGTAATTTCCAACTCACCACGAGCTCTTCCAGGTGCCTTAATTGGTATCTGGGAACCATGATAAATAGATTATTTATCCATGTTTCTAAAATAAGTTAAAGTTCAAGACTACATATTCAGATAATGTACAATCAATTTATCACCAATTGCATACACTTCTAAAGAAAGTTATACTTTTACTGTTGCAGGAAATTCACTTTTTGCGGTTAGTTTTCCAACAACAAAATTTCCCTGGTTGGCCTTAATGAAGTACGCAACAATAATGTGCACAGATATGATCATGTTAGTTTTATCTATTGTTTTTATGCAAAAGTTCGCACTGAATCCATTGGAAAATAAAAATTATATTAGATGAACGGTGGAATCATCAGTTAACTGAATAACTAAATAAAATTAACAGATGGACCAATTCAGCAGAAGCTAATTGAACCTTCAAATTCAAATAGTACCTCTGACACGTTCGAAAGAATAAAATAGTAACAATATAAAGATAAAACAAAATAGAATCATCTATTGCACTTAAGCAGATGTGAACTTTGCTACAAGATTTGTAATGAAAAGAATTAGTAATACTAGAAAGCTCGCACCAATTCATTGAACCTGACATCTGTAAAATTATAGACAAATGCTACAATAGTAACAGGAACAACACTTACCAGACCTGCAATTTTGAATTTGTCAAATTTGACAGCCACTTTTTTTGCATTCAAAGGAGTTAAATCTGCGGTCACCTACAAGGCATTAATTAATATCAGTTAACAAGCAAAAGTAAATGCAAGAATCATCAAAAAAAAAAAAAAAAAAAAAAAAAAATGCAAGATCAATCAAAAAAAAAAAAAAAAAAAAAAAAATTCAAATAATTTTACTTAGCAAATCTATTGTTGGATGGAAAACGTCGAGGATAGATGAAAAAAAAAAAAAAAAAAAAAAATTCAAATATTACTATAGCAAATTATTGTTGGATGGAAAACGTCGAGGATAGATGAAATTAAGGCCTAATTAAAGACCGCCAAAGAAAGATCTTACCTTGACCCAAAAATAAGTTTATTGCTTCTATCAGAAAATCATAGAGAATTTGAAAAGAAAAGATTTCTGAAGAATAACAAAGATTCCATAGTTAATTGGAACTGGAAAATTACCTGGTTGAAGAATGGAAAAGATTCCATATTCTGGGCCCTTAGTGTATCTGCATTAATTGCTTGGTAGTTCGTTCTAGATCTTAAGAATTTGGGCCTCTGCATGCATAGCATTATTTTTCAGGCTATATCAGTTTATGCAGGAAACAAAAGAAGTGACTATAATAATAGTTTTAATTCTAATCCTCTATCTTGAAAAAATACAGAAATGTAGCAAGAAAGCAACTATATGCCTAACATCAATGACGAAAAAGAAGTGAACAAAAAGAGACAACTGCAAAACATACCAAAACCAAAAAACAAAGTGATTATTAATCACATCAAAACAAGACACTCTATAGAGATACGTCGAAAGAATTCTCATTCCTCAGACAAGGGACAAAAATAGGAAAATACCCATCGAAGAAAAACAAAATTGCATAATAATTCAGCTTACCTGGGTTTGTAAAATTGATTGTGAAGTTGTGTAAATAAGCTCCCATTTCCCATTTAGTAAATTAGACTTGAGTGGCTCCTTTGTTGGATTAACTGCTTCAAGTTGGCGTGCAATCTATTAAGATACACACATATAAACACTGAAAACTGGCAAAAAATGTCAACTTTTCCATCAAAATTTTAGAAAGCTTCACTAGTATACTAGTTTAGTCACCCTAGAAATGTCATGGGAATGGAACCGTGTGGTTAATCCAAAAAATCACATTTCAAGTCATATTTTTTTAAAAAAAATAAAAAATAAAAATAAAAATGTTAGTTATGTTCAGAATTATACTTCAAAACACCACCATTTCAGTATAAACTAAAGTTGCTGAAATATAATATATTGGATTCCTTTTAAACCACAGAATGCTATTTCACGAAGTGCATTCAATATTGAATATTCCTGATAACAAGCCAAAACATAAACTAAGTATTTCTTATTTCCAAGAAACGTACTCTTATTCCTTATCTTGAATTACAATCCTAAGCCCAAAAATCAAAGTTAAGAGGCAAATCCAACTGGGGCTGTCTCAATTGCTAATTCCAAGTGCTATTTCAAAACATTAACAATCAGAAGAGGCACTGAGATGATCAAATAATACACAAACCTCGTCAACTCTCTGCTGGTCTTCAAAAGAGGCATCAGCCCCACGATCAAGAGGAGCAATGGCCTCAAGAATCTCTTCCTTAAGAACCTTAGCATCTTTGCCCTTTTTCAAGAAAGCAGGGAAGAAAGAAACTTTAGCTCTCCATTTATCAAAGTTTGAGTTTTTACTGGTTGAAAGGGTCAAGAGACGGGTTTGGTTGTTATCGATGGGTATGGAAGACAAGTGAAAGGTGGCAACTTTGGGGATTGATGAATTAGAAGAGAATTGACAGGTAGTGAGGATTGAAAGAGAGTTTTGAGAAGATAAGGCCATTGTTATATGGTGAGTTTTTCAGGAGCTTGAAACTTGAAAGTGGGGGCTCTTTTCTATCAGGTGGCAGTGAATGTTAGTTAGTTCTACTCGTGATTATGCGCTCGAACGGCGTCGTTTCAATGATGGTGGTGATAATTAACTAAATATAAGTAATGCGAGTGACCGTTGTTTTTTAATGACATGATGTTGTCGTCCAACGACGGTTTACTTTAAGATCGGTGCAGAGGACTAATTCAAGTGTACATTTACAAACAGTAAAATGAAATGTCGTTCACTTTAGTAACGTGTAAAATAACAAAACTTTCTTCAAAGAAATATATTTCCCTTATTTCTGTTACAATCAATTAGTTCTTCTGCTATGAAAAATTGATTTATCTAACATTCAATTGCTAGTGGTCTTCTTTTCATTGAATCAGTTATTCAAAGCTAGCCATTACTATAGCTAAGGACTTGTCGTCGGATTGTTCCATTGTTAACAGCTTCTAGCTGTCAGTGAACGACAAGCTCTTCAGTCGAAGGGGAATAGAGATTATTCATGTGATATAGATGAACAACCATGCCGTTCCACAATAGTTGTCTTTCAGTCACTAAACGACCCGTCGTCTTACAGCCTACTGCGCAATCATCCAGCTTAAATTTAACCATGTGCTAGTGCTATATGCTACTACTCGCGCGGATGTGGATCACAGAAATCACGGCCGTATAAAATAAATGAGTATGACGTCATCAACCCGAATGAAAAACATGGCGAAACTCGTTGCTGCTTTCTCTTCTTTCGCTTGTCGCTACTCTAATGGTGGTATTCTATTCTTTCTTGCTTCTTCGACCTTCTCTTGTAGTTATGAGCCCAAAGCTTGAATATTGAGTATCCCCAAAGAGAGAATATTAGAAAGAAAGATGCTTTCGAAATTCCCAGTTATCCAGTTGAAAGAATCTGTACCAGCAACACCCACTCCTTTGATTTTGTTTCAAAAGGACTTTTGCAAGTTTGGTTGCTCTCCATTCAATTCTTCTGACCGCAGGTTGAGGTTTAAGGTTGTAAGTCAGTCGCTTGGGAATAGATGGAAGCTTAGAGACATTGATGCTAGTAAGATTTTTATCTTTTTTACTTAAACTTTTAGTACTTAGGAATTGTTTAAACAACAGCTTATGGAGGTTATAATCATTTATGGGGCTTATAGAAGTTATTCAGAAAGAGATTGAATGGATATGGAATCTTCGATTACTTAGGATTATGGTTCTAAGAGGTCACACATCAAAACCCGGAAGTCAGTTGCTCCATGATAAATAGTGAGAATTTTTAAAGCAAATAGCCTTTAGTCACCCATTTACAAGGATTTGCGTGGATGAAAGTAACGTGAACATTGAAGAGACTTCAATTCCTTCGATTACTTAGGATTATGGTTCTAAGAGGTCACACATCAAAACCCGGAAGTCAGTTGCTCCATGATAAATAGTGAGAATTTTTAAAGCAAATAGCCTTTAGTCACCCATTTACAAGGATTTGCGTGGATGAAAGTAACGTGAACATTGAAGAGACTTCAATTCAACCGTAGGTTGCTGTTCTTTTATGCATAAATATGTGTATGTGTAAAACCAATCTTTAGCTCCAAACTAGATAGGGTAGCTACAAGGATTCCTTACTTCCACGTATCTGGGTTAACATTTTTATGAGCTATGAAATCGATTGATTATAATTCCAGGTTTATCTATGCTATTTTTGATTTGTTTATTTTTCTTACTATATAAATCTGGAAACCATCATGCTACTTAACTCATGGTCTATGTTGGATTTGACAAATTTATCTCAGTTAATTATCCTTCCTACATGTCCCCTCATTTCTTATCTGGTCCATATTATGCTTCCACTATCCACTTAACATCCTTATATCTCTATGTTTATTGTATGAACACATTACTTCTGCCGTAATGCATAATTGTGGTTCTATAGTATTTACCCTTCAATCAAGAAAAAGGACTCGGAATCACAGAGCATTCTGTTCATGTTCTAGTGCTTAAAGAAAATTAGAGGATGCATGCAAATGAAGATGCTGTAATTTCATAATATATGCATGATATGGAGCTGTATGGATATAATAGTCGTTGGAGTGGTGTGAATTGTGTAATCTTTTGACAGAGGCAGTCCAAGAAAGAGTCAATTCATGGCTATCAAAGACCCAAAATCTTTTGAATGAGGTAACTTTGCCACTGGTAAAATCTGGTCCGAGTGGAAAGCCTGATCCTGGAACTGTATTTGATTCTCTGGTGCTGGAGGAAATATTTATGGCAGAACAGACTATTCATAGTAGCACACCAAATGGAGTTCTCTCATTGGCTGCTATAGTATCCATTGAGCAATTTAGCAGGTATATTGTCCTTCTATGTGGTTATTGTCGTTTGAAATTTCTTTTGTTGGTCCAATTAGTTTGTATATAAATCCCGGAGGTCCTTTTGGACAATACTTTTGTAATGAAACGAAAATTGTTGAATTGATGGAAAACACACTTCTGTAAGAAGGGAAAGAAAATTGAGAAGAGGAGGATGATATTTTCTTACATCCATGTAGCTTGTCCCTGTCAGTCCGTTTTTTCACTTTCTTTTCTAAATGCCAACAATAAAATATTCCTAATTGGAGGTAAGTATCTTCTTGAATATCTAATAATTCATCGGTTCCCTCTTACTCTACTCTTTCCCAAAGATCTGCAGCCAAATTTTCCCAGCCACTTGGAGAATTTGGCCTAGTTTACATAATTAATAGTGTTTCCTGAAACATTGTATTAGCTATTGAAAACTCTATTCAGATATTTAGATCATTGATTGTCTTGCCCTCCTTTCTCTCTGATAACAGTGCTGATATGTATTTGTCATTAGAATGCTTTTCTTTGATATTGATGCTTAATATTATACCTACTGATGCAAGAATTTTGATTCAACTCTTGGAATAAGATTTGCAGGATGAATGGATTGACTGGCTATAAAATGCAGAAGATATTTAAAGCACTCGTCTCCGAATCTGTTTATAATGATGCCCGTAATTTGGTGGAGTATTGCTGCTTTAGGTTCTTGTCAAGGGATAATGCTGCTATTCATCCCTGTCTTAAGGTTTGTGGAGTTTAGTATCAGAAATTGTTTTGGGCTTGTCAAAGAATATGCTATTGAAATTATAAGTTTTTAGGTCCAGATTTATTCACTTCTTGCTTGCTGTTTTTGAAAATTATCAGTTTAACTGTGTTATACTTGAATTATTTCTTTGCTCCATTTTGTGAGACATGCATGATATCTTTACAGGAACTGGCATTCCAGCAACTAATTTTCATAACAATGCTTGCATGGGATAATCCTTACCACAAAGGAGATGGATCTGAAAAAGCTTCTCTTCAGGTTTAATTTTTCCTCTTTTCAGGAAACCCCTTGTAGCATTGTACAGTTGTGTATTTAGATCCAACATGCATTAGCAATTTTGGTTCTTAAATTTTATTGAAACCAATAGAAAGGTGCATTGTTAGATAGATTTGGCAAACATCATACTATGGAGGCATCTGAAAGGCTTCATTTAGTATAATTAATTCATCACTTTGATCTTCTTTATTTATAGAATGTATAAGAAGAATCCTGCTGTATGATAACACTGAGATATAATAGAATGGGATAGTGACATTCTTTAATCTTGCAATTGATAGATTAAATCTAACTATGCTGGGGCTCTTGTACCCTGTAATTACACAGTAAGTTATATCATTTTAATGCTCATGAGGAATTGTAAAGGGTGATGGATAATTGAAACTCAGTTTGATCTCACATGTAAATATGCCAAAGGCGGGAGACTGCTTAGGCTTCAAGTAATAATTGTTAACTAATTTGGGTCAACCTTAAGGGGAGATGAAATTGCCAAAGAAACTCTTTAGTCAATTATTAATAATGCCTTATTTTCATCTGATTAGGTTCTTTAGGTAGTTGAAACCATCTTTGCCCTGAAAAAAGAAATCATGAAAAATGAATTTTTATTTTGTTAACCTCTCTGATTCACTTCTTTATTTTTTTGGTTCTTCAGAATCATTAGAGCGATGGTAATTTTTTAAAGTCCTCTAAGGACTCTTCTCTTTTAATGCCTTCAATAAGAGTTTTTACACTGTTGTTCCAAAAATTAATGCATTTGTTGTTGGCATTGAAGGGGAAGCTTGTTGGAGAAGAGGCTTTTGTACGCATTGCCCCTGCTATTTCAGGTGTGGCTGATCACTCCACAGCACATAACCTTTTCAAGGCTCTTGTTGGGGATGAAAAAGGCCTTTCTTTGGCCTTGTGGTTAACTTATGTCGAAGAACTTCTCAAGTGAGTTTCATGATATCCTTATAATGATACTTTGCTTGTGACTTATAATTTTTACCTTGATCACGTAATTGATTATGGATCTTCTTTGTTGCCATGAATTGAAATGAATATGGATAACAATGGGTGATAATTCAAATATTTCAAGGACTCAAATGTCAAACAGAGTATTCAAATTTTTAATTGAAATTCTAGTAAAAAATTGATTAAGGAGTTAAGGAAGCATGAGGGAGATTGCTGGCAATGAAGAATCATTTTTATGAAATAATTTGTATGCTATTTTTAGCCTTCAAGAAATTGTTGCGTACAGACTATTGGCACTCTTAATAAGACATATGAGAATAATGTTTATGATACTGTTCATACGTTATTGTTAGTCTTTCACTCTACTGGATTTTAGAAGACGCTTAGCAAAATCGTGATTAATTACAGAGGTGCATTCAACCCTGTCTCACTTTTGTTCTGTTTTTACCTTTTCTTGATATAATTAATGGACATATTTGTGAGATGCATATTCTTTTCTCATATGTTTTGGCGAGCTCAGTTCCTACTAATTTTAGTGTAGGGTGCATGAAGGACGGAAATTATACCAGAATCGTGAGTTTCCCATGCTTTCAGAGGAGAGAATATTATGCATCGGTTCTAGCCGGAAGCGTCCTGTTCTAAAATGGGAGAATAACATGGCATGGCCAGGAAAAGTTACATTAACTGATAAAGCACTATATTTTGAGGTACTTATAACTTCTGCATTATTTAATGGTTTTATGTTAAGTCTCTGAATTCTTTTGTTTAGGAAATCCTTAATGTTGATGGAGTACAAACATTTTCAAAGGTTTACTGAATGAGATAGATTTTTTTTTTTTTTTAATTTTGGTATTATATAGAGATGGATTTGTTTAGTCACTATGAATATGGCGATATTTTTCCTATTGAAAAGTTGCCTAAGAGCAATGGATGTGTTGGTAACCATGTGTTATCAATTTAAAGTCATACAAGTTTCAACACTATTTGATTGAAATATATATCTGTATAATGTGGTGTTAAACATACACAGGTGTGCACTAGGCCTGGTCATAGCTGTGTAACTTGAATGTCTATCACGCTTTGTACCTAGGAAAAAAGTTCTTAATGATTGTAGAATTGTGCACCATTGTTTTTGTTACTGTAAAATTCTTCAAGTGGCTTATACAATATCCTTGATTGTGCATACTCAAGGATCATGTGTATTAATAGATATTTTTTGCTATAGATTGATTGGGTATTATTTCTGTCCCTAATCGTTTATTATATCATGCCTTTCTTGCAGGCTGTTGGCTTGAGCAAGCAGAAAGATCCAATAAGGTTTGACCTTACTAGAAGTGAGATACAGGTGGAGAAAACAAAAGTTGGACCTATGGGCTATGTGCTTTTTGATTCTGCAGTATCCATTTCATCTGGTCCTGAGTAAGTCAGCTTCTCTGAGCCCATCTTTTTAGCTGAGTTTTGGTGCATTCATACTATTGTCTCTGCTATCATGCAATCTTTCAATTGGCTGTTATTCGCTCTCTCCTTGTCAAATGATATGTCTACCATGATGCTACAGTGGATAATGCCCATAAAAATGATGCAAAAATTGCATTTTCACACTTGTAATTTTGTAGAGCAAGATGGAGTTTTAAAAATTAAATATATTTTTGTTGCAATCAACATTTTGGGTGCATGCTGGGGACATTTTTTTTTTTTTTTCTATCCTTTTTGTATAAAAAATTTGTTGGTAAATTAGTTAATTAAATTATGTCCATAAAGATCATTTATGTCGACAGGGGGAATTGAAGATGAAAACAAATGCAGAAACTCATATCTTCAGTATTTAAAAGTAGACATGAAGTTTGATACTCATTTTGTAAGTTTATATATCAATTATGAATTTCCTTTTTGTTCAGATCAGAGACATGGGTGCTAGAATTTGTTGACTTGGGAGGTGACTTGAGAAGAGATGTTTGGCATGCATTTATAAATGAAGTTATTTCTTTGCACAAGTTCATCTGTGAGTTTGGGCCTGAAGAACATGATCAGTCAATATTTCAAGTGTATGGTGCTCAGAATGGGAAGGAAAGGGCAATAACCAGTGCCATTAATAGCATTTCTAGACTTCAGGCCCTTCAATTTATGCGAAAGTTGCTGGATGATCCCATCAAACTTGTTCAGTTCTCTTTTTTGCGGAAGGCACCTTATGGAGACATTGTTTACCAAACTCTAGCTGTAAATTACTGGGGTGGACCTTTAGTTAAAAAATCTACTGTGGCAGAATACGCACCAGCACAAGGAGCAAGGTCTTCTGATGGGTTAATAGAAATTAGTAATAATGTATTTGACATAGATGGAAGTGTTTACTTACAGAAGTGGATGAAGTCTCCCTCTTGGACTTCCGCTGCTTCCATTAACTTCTGGAAGAGCTCTTCAATTAAGCAAGGGGTTGTATTAAGTAAAGATCTTGTTGTGGCTGATGCAACTCTTGCGGAGAGGGCAGCAATAACATGCAAAGAAAAATACCAGGTGGTTGAGAAAACTCAAGCAACAATTGATGCTGCAATGTTACAAGGGATACCAAGTAACATCGATCTTTTCAAGGTTTGACTATTTATTTCTTTTTCCATTAACTTTTTCTTGTTCTGAGTAGTTTTCCATTCATTTATGTGTCTAAAAGCTGTACTTTTAACAATTCTAATTTAACCCGCATCACTTGGTGAAACACATTGGGAGAAAGCAGTATATTATACTCCCTAAATGACTTTGGACTTCCTCTTCTATATGGACTACAATTTAATTGGAATACAAAGTTCAAAATCCCATATACATTATCCTTTTTGTCAAAAATACCATGCGTTCTTTGAAATTTCGTACTTTTTATATAGAAACCAGGCAAGTGTGTCAAAATTCTGAAGGAATAATTCATACTAAGAATTTCCTCATTCTTGATTCTGCTATTGCTTTTGTATGCTTGTTAACTCCACTTTGAGAAGATCCATTTCTGTTTCCTTTTGGGTGAAAGAGGAAGTAAACACCTGTGAATTTAGGGCAGTGTGAATCAACTTGTGATGGGATAAGTAAATCTTAGAGGGTTGAACTTTTCCTCAATTTTCTGTTCTAGGCTTACTGAGACCGGTTCAATCTTTGAAGGATTTATTTTAGACAACAAGAGTTCCACATTTGCTAGTTTGGGATGCTTCTCTTGCAAATATTATTGTCGCAATGAATTAGATATTGATCTTTTCTGGTCTTCTGTGTGTTTTCATGTTCGCACACAAAAAATAAGGATGACAAGCATTTGGAAATATTATTTTGTAATAGTTGTCCACATGATATCGGAACGATAATAATATGCAGATTTCATGGTGATAAACTAGGTCCCTGTATTACTGCTACTAATACTAATAATAATTCTTACCTTTACTTCAGTTCAGTTCTCATGTAAGTCAGATGAATATTAGTATCTAACAGAATTACATCTTATCTTGTTGCAGGAACTGATATTTCCTCTGACTATGGCTGCCAAGAATTTTGAAAAACTGAGACGGTGGGAAGAGCCACATTTGACCATATTTTTTCTTGCATTTGGATATTCAGTTATTTTCAGGTAGGTCATTGCTTGAACAAATTGTTCACAAGAGCAACTTTTGGTTTTAATTCTTACAAACATCTCTAACAGCAAAGAAAGGCCTCCAGCTCACCTACTACCGAGATAATAATTATTCTTGGATTTAATGATTAACTCACCAATAGCTTACTCTGGCTTGTACATAATCGTAACTCACGTAGTCCACATGCACACACATAACCCATATACTAGCAGCACAAATATGATTCTGTTTTTGTGTCTGACAAAGTTTCATGTGTAGGTTGTTCTTAACTTTTGATTGTTAATCTGCTCAGTGTTTCATTGTGCTGAATAGCTAAACAATCTGTTGATGAATGAGCATACACATTGTTTATCAATTGAAAGAAATTGCTAAGACCAACATCTTTTCAGATATAAACAAATAATGCTGCCTATTAAAAATTTTCTGGCATAATGGTAAAAAAGAACTACCCTGCTCTTGAGCCATGACTACTACATCTATGCTTTTCTGGGGAGATGCTTATTCTTTTCTATAGGATTTCTATTATTCTAGTCAGTTACATCTGAACTTACATAAGTTGCATCTACTTGCCTTAGATAACTGATTATGCGTCTAATATCAGATTATCTGTGATGGATTTTTATTCTGAACTAAATCTCATACAAGGCTCTTAGTTTTCCTTAAATCATTTTTTCCTTGATGCAGTAAGAATCTAAGTTTGAAAACTGGCTTTCTTTTGCAGAAATTTGCTGCCATATGTATTTCCAATGATGTTGATGGTCTTGGCGACTGGGATGCTAACACTAAAGGGGCTTAAGGAGCAAGGTCGCTTGGGAAGATCTTTTGGAAAAGTTACCATCCGTGATCAACCACCTTCGAATACCATCCAAAAGATTATAGCTGTAAAAGATGCCATGCGTGATGTGGAAAATTATCTCCAGAATCTGAATGTCACACTTCTAAAATTGCGCACAGTTATTCTTTCAGGTCATCCTCAGGTATGCTGTCTTGCTGCGGAAAAGAAATAATAAAAACATTCAAATGCTATGACTTGTTATGTTCTGAGTTATTTACTTGCACCACTTAAAATTTAGAATGTATGTTCTTTTGTTGAATTCTGAAGAAGTATTACTGCACTTTGTGCTATGCAATGTTCCCTGTCCACCAAACAACTTTGGATAATGATTCAGGACTGTGATGTTCTTTTTGACCTTTAAGAGCGGCAGGATGAGTGAGAATAGCTAGGATTGAAAGCTTTTAGATATACAATGGCGTATGTTCTGAGTTTTTCTCTGCCCCCTTAATATCAGGAATTATGGTAGTCCAATCTTGAAGGGGATGGTGAAGTATTTGCAGAACCTTTTCTTGCTGCTGCTCTTTTTAAGTTTCAAATAGTTTGTTTTTAATTGGTAAATATCTGATTTTGCAATTTGAATATTGTTAGATAACGAGTGAGGTTGCTCTGGTGTTGTTGGCTTCTGCAACCATTCTTCTTATTGTCCCATTCAAGTATGTTGCTGCCTTTGTTCTTTTTGATCTCTTCACTCGGGAGCTCGAGTTCCGTAGGGAAATGGTTAAGAAGTTCATAACCTTTCTAAAGGATCGTTGGGAGACAATACCTGCAGCCCCTGTAGTTGTGTTACCTTTTGAATATGATGAGTCAACATCAACAAATCGAAAGGAGAAAATTAATAATAAAAGATCAGAAAAAAGTTAAAAGTAGAGGCATGCCTTGGATAATTTGTGACACAGAGAAAGCTTTGTAAAAGAAAATGCCACCTTGTAATTTTCATTGGTCCACTTTTGTGTACGATGAACGCTTTAAGGGTGAGAATTACTCTTGTTGGCTCCAAGCAGCTTTCATGCAGGTTAAAAAGGAAGGGCATGGCTGGATGTAGGGAGGCAGGTAGAGTTATGTAGAATTCATATTTATTGAAATCAAAGTAAAATAATACAAAGGTGCTTTCAAATTTTCATTGAAGGGTGGTGTCTTATTCTGAACATAACAGCAAGTAATCCACCAATACTTACCGAATAGGTGACAACCAATCTTTACAGATCGTTAAGCTTTATGGTCAAGAATTAAGGTAAAATTTCATGAAAATTTTCTTATATATTGTTGACTGGAGCTTTTGACTATGTAATTGACATGCCTTCTCTTTTAAAATTTTGCAGTTTGATGCTGCACATGTAAATTTAGTCTGCTTGTGCCATCTTGTAAGTTGTTGCCAACCCAAGTAATAACTTAGTAAATGTATTTAGAGAATTGCAGGATACAACGACTATAAATGGTGGCCCTTCAAAACTATTTGTACAGAATGTTCTGTTCTAAAATTGACTTTTATTGAAATTCCTTAGAGAACGATAAAATTTTACATTTTCTGAGAATTGTAAGCTTGTACTTGTGTTGAAACATTCTACTATATGGAGGAAGGTGCCTTCAAAAAGTTCTCACCTTTTTTCTTTTCTTAAATTTCATTTCTCTTAAAAATATATTCTGTTATCTGATGATTATATCAATTGATCAAATTCTTTTCTTTGATTCTGTTTGTGGAGTTGTATCATCCTGGAGTATATCACTAAAAAAAAGTTTCAAATTTTACAGTTCTGAAGTTATAAGAAGAATAAACAAAGATAAAATAGACAATGAAACTGAAAATTCTTGTGGTTAAGCAACTTAGTTTACATGTGAAATGATCAAGCAGAAAAGAAAAGAAAAGAAAAGAAAAAAAAGAAATATAATGCACGGGAGAAATCCAAATTTTCATTTCAAAAATGAGAAACACACTATACAGAATCACAGAAATGGCTAAATCTTGATTTGTAAAATAAATGCCAAAGGCAGAGCCACCATTAGATTCCACCATCCTTTGGGTACTAGTGCTTTTGATCCATTTGTCGTATTGCAGACAACCTTGTTGTCATGGTAAGAGCAGAAGGTTTGGTTCCTAAAATTAACCAACAAAATTAGTAATCACAAAATCAGTATAAAACTTCCATTCTATGTTGCATAGAATCGGAAACGGAGAAACGTGGAAATATGAAAATGATCCGGAGAGGAAAAAGCCCATGTCCAGGAGTTTCGGTGCATCATAGCTTCCATTATTAGTAAGTGCTAAGATTTTTCTGTAAAAATAATATGAGCTTACCTTGTTGCACAGAATGAGACAATATAATCTGTTGCTGAGCATGTTATAATACTGGTTTGATCCCTGTCAAATGCATAGCTAGAAGCCGAAGGGCAAACTTGCTTAAACCCTTTGGAATAGTTTGAGGGTACACAAGCCACAGGATCACTATATGCTCCTCTACAACAGTACTCATCGGAGTTAAACACATCACATGCGCTCCGGCAGGCAATGACCTTCCCGTCGGACTTAACGGCGAGATCCGACGGACAATTTTGCCTTACATCTCCATCACAACCAGCAATGCTACAATTTCCTTTACCCTTAAGAGGTGAAATTACTATAGGTACATTAAATCCATCCACAAGGCTAACATCGTAAAAATCGACATCTCCGAGGGTAAATTCGGCAATTGAGTTTGGCGGGCTACTTGGGCTTGAACAATTTAGAGATGTCCCACAGCTGCCTGTTTGGCATGATCCGTTACCGTTTTTGTCGAAATCACAACCGGTTCGAGCCCATATCCGGCCACTCCACCCGGTTGGGGCACTGTAGAAGGCGGTTTGGCCTGATTTTAGGACAAACCCTGCCCCATGACTATTGTAACCTTTTGTAATAATTCCAGGCCATATTGTCTCTTTGCAGTTATTATACAAGGTGAAAGTTTTTGTACTAGTGGAAGTATTTTGTCCTGTCAAAAGCATTAAACATAAAAGTTAATTGTGAAAATACATTTCAACTATATGCAAGTAAAGAATATTCATACAAGAAAAAAACAATGTATTAGAATAAAAATATTCTTGCAACTAGGGTTGACTATTCGGTTAACTAAATCGAATTAATTTAGTTTTAGTTTGTCACAATATGTATTTATGGTATCTAAATTCAAAAAAAAAAAATGGTATAATAACCAATTCAAACCGAATTAAATCGGTTTAAATTCGATTATTCCAAATCAAAATAGTTATTTTGGGTTTAACAATAAATTCAGTTAGTTATATATAGTAATCAAATAAAAAATCTAAGATCAAATGATTTTATATATCCAAACCAATCGTTAACGGAATTTCTAATAAAATTATCCGAATCTGATGGAAATGAGTCGATTTAATTTGGATTTCAATTAGAAATCGAGAATTGCTAAGCAACGATACAAGGAAACATATGAATAGAATTTATGAATTCCATGAATTATGATTTATTTTTTCTTAATAGTTTAAATTCTAGTAATTCAAATCACCTCTTAGCTTTCAACGGTAAGTGTAGAAAATGTTGTTCTCCCATTGTTGATAGCAAGAAAATACAAAAAGAAAAGGAGAATATTACCTGATACAATGGCGATGAAGAAGCACAGGAGAAGTAGATATAAACTGAAACTTGAAGCCATCTTTAGTTATTAAGTTTGTGTTTAAGTTGAAGAAGTAAGACATTGCAAGTGACGTTTTTATATGAACATTATGTGCATAAAGAGAGTGAATATTGAAAGAATACGTGTTGAAGAGAGTTGATTTACAAAAACAGACAGCTCAAAAAGGCTTCCTTGCTTAATAGCCAATTGATACCTTGCTCCATCCTTTTTTTTTCTAATTTCTTAATTAGTTGTTAGTTCAATGTCTTTTCCACTTGACTTGCCTCTGGCCCATTTTTCTCTTTCTTTAGTCTTTTCGGTTCTTAAGTAGTTAAGGTATTCTTGCTTTTGTCACAAAAGCGTATCTCTGTAACTAGTTTAACTGCATCTCTTATGGGTTTCTGCTGGTTTTATTTGCACTCACTGCTAAATTATATTTGCAATTCCAAATTCCAAGTTCCAACGTGTCCAACTGCTTCATGCCCGTTATGCTAGTTACTGACAAAGCTTCTAACTAAATCAACATATAATTAATTGAAAGTAAATTCTGCAAAATTGTGCCCAATGTACTAAAGTAAAGTCCGATCATAGCATTAGTTCACATATCTGCCGAATTTCATTCCTTGGCAGTTGCAGGAATAGCCTTGACTTGATACAGGTTAAGCTGTTCATGAATCAACCTAAACTTGTCTTTGAGCCTCTTAATCTGCAAACCAGAACAAGAAGGAATAAAATTTATCAAGATTGATTGCTCTGTACGGTATAGAAAGCAGGAAAGAAAAAAACAAATCTTTTAAAAATAAATTATACCCTTTTCAGTTCAATTTCTATTTCACGTTTCTGTTGACCTAGTGAATGTCGTAGATTGGTAATGTCAAAAACATTATCCAAATCATCCTCAAAAGCAGATTCTAGGTCCTGCCGGAGAAGTGCAGGCAACTTGTCTATAACCGGCATCAAAAGAAAACAGTTGAACTGCAAAGGGCAAGTGCAAACCGTTAAGGGTTAAAGGAAACTGCACATACCTATCAATTAGCAGGTATTCTATCTTCATCTATCAATAAATTAATAATGGGAAATGCTTAAACCTTCAATTCAGCAGAGGCCAAGAAATACTCTCTAATTCCATGGAATATCTGTTGTACCAGAGCATAAACAATCCTTTCAGATGAAGGAGCAAGTCTCCGATTCCAAAGAGTGTTGTCTAGAAGATCAGCAAGTCTTGTTTCTGTTGCCTGAATAGAAGAGCCTGAGTCAATGCCTGAGGCCACATGGGAGAGCTTGACTTCTGCCTTTGGTTTGCTCTCATGCTTCTCGTTGGCAATTGAGCCCAGAGATGACTCTTGGGAGAGACCAGCTGGTGCAGAGTTGCCTCCGGTGGAAGACTGCTCTGTTCCTCCAAAGGAGTCCAAGAAATGGCGTAAACCAGCCCGATTCTATAATTTGACATAAAAAAAGAAAGAGAAATATTTCAAAATTCACTAACAAATGAGTAACCATGTTCAAAAGTTTGTGGATTCTAAAAATAGTTTTGGAAGTTTCATGCCAAAAAAAAATCATCAAAATTTCACTTGCACCTACAGCAGTTGTATCCTTAATAGCGGACCAGAAAAAAAAAGAAAAAAATGCATACAAAAATAAAATTTCCCGTAAAAATCTTAAAAGACACAATGTGTATGCCAATTTGAAAAGAACTGCATAATTTTGCACGACTCCTCTTGCATAAATTTTCTTCTTTTTGTGTATGTATGTGTTAACTGGAAGGCCTGCTTAGCCTTCGTAGTCAACCATCCCAATATAATGCCCTTATATGGAAAATGTAAAGAACCTTATTGTGGAGAGACCATGTTACATAACGTGTGGTGCTCACTAAATCCTCCATGCATCTGCAATCAACCCAAGAAAAATCTTATGTTGCCAATAAGGAAAAAAAGAACACCATAAAAATAAATAAATAGTGATCATTGTAATAGAGAAAAACATTTTACTTTTCATGGCATGCTCTTTCAGTAGATTCTGCAAAATTGTTGAAAGCAGAAGCAACTCGCCTAAGGAATACTTCATGGCCACTTAGATACTCACCATCTTTCTGTCACATATCAGTTGAAGTAGCATAAAAATAAAACCACATGGTTCAGAAGATAAGCACCAACAACCACCAATTCCTAAAATCCATACCTGAAGAAGATAGACAGAGATGGGAAGCAATCTCTTCAGAATATACAAGAGTCTATGACCCAACTGCACCAGAAAAAGAAATTCATTCTGAAAATCAATCCTACCAAAATTTTTAAAACAGACAGCAAAGATAAATAAACCAATATTGCTTTCTGGAGGTCCAAAGCACAGTTCACAAAAGTTTCATTCAACAGAAAAACTTAATTTAGTGGTCGTATAAGTAAAATAAAACAAGAAAATATAGGATGTTTCCCTTGTAAACCACAGGTTAAAGTCCCATTGACTGCTTCCATTTTCTTCAACACATCTTTTATATAAAAGTAGAGATATATTACAAACAACACCACCCCCTGAGTTCAGACAAAATATACACTCAGGTTTTCGCTTTTTCCAATTGGTTTATTTGGCCTCTAACTTTCAAAATTTGCTGATACTTTAATCCTTCCATTAAAATAAGCTTTTAGATAAACCAAGTTATTTGGTCCCCAAGTTTTCATATATTATTTAAGATATAGAAGACAAGTACAACAGGACTAGAGATTACTGTCCTATACTAGGTGAGGTACCTCTCGAAATAATCAAATTAACTTATTATTCTGTGACTTTAATTCTAAGACTATTTTCCTATTCATCAATTCACCAGATAAAAAAAATGTAATTCATTTCTTAAGAGAGAAAGAAAAGGAGCATATTGGTTTGTGCACATGTGATGGACCGAGGATGACAATGCAGATCATTCATTTTATTAAGAGCAAACATTACTTGTCACCTGATGAAGAAAAGGTTCAAATGTATCACGAGCCTTTGCAACAGCTATTACACATGCCGTCCTGATATCCATACAAAAATGAGAAAGAGAAAAAAGGGTTGGAAATAATGGTATCCCATGTCAAAATTTCATGAATACCGAGAGTAGTTAGTTCCATCATGAATATCTTCAACGCCACATGCATTCACAATTTCTTCACGAGTAATTTGAGGGCATTTGGTACCACCTACAAGAAATCGAAATTCTGCCATGGCTCGATGATACTGTGCTCCCCCATAAAGACGCATCCCTGCATTCTGCATGTAAAGTAAAAAATGTCCATGAAGCTTGAACTTTGTTCTTAAATATAAGGATAATGCCATAACCCTGCCTGTTTCGGAAAACCTAGAAACTATCAAAACACCTCCAACTCCAAAAAGTATAAAAATATTAAACCGGCAAGTTATTTACAAGAATAAACATGCATGCAAGAGGCCCTCGGGACCAAAACACCTTTATAAGAAGTATATTCTCAATATTAAATTTCTCAAATCTTTAAACTAGCTTTTTCATGAGCTCCAATGCTCCATGTTGTTTTCTTATGGAGAGAGAAACAGAAGTCAAAAAACTTTCTAGCACACATTTTGTTGTGCCAGAAACTGCACAGTGCACACTATGTGATTTGGCGAAAGCACAAAGAACCTGAGTTCACAAAGAATATGCTATTGACATTAGCTTACAGGAATTAGCTTTTGTGGAAACTGAAGACCATCTGTACCAACAAATGCCCCTCCATTAGTTCTCTCATCCTGTAGCGTTTCACCTGAAACAAACATAACGCTTTTCCTTGTCAAAGATGGCAACCCTAAAATAGTAAACAAATAATGATCAATGAAGAGAGGAGGTTGAAGAGAACAAGTTCACTTCTCTGATTAATGACATAATAGTAGAACTTTATTTACCATATATGTTTTCTGCATAAAGCAATATCAAATGATTTACCAAATTTATCTGGAGGGGCAACAACTGTTCCTTTCAACAGCAATGACAACTGAGTACATAAAGCATATCAGTCAGCACAAGCAATCAAGGAAATTGAAAAGCAAAATAGAAACAGCTTCCTGCATCAAACATGCATGTGTGACATATACTTTCTCAGGCCCAGAGCTACTAGTAACCAAGTATCCCACAAAGATATCATGGCCTTGTTTCAAATCAAGAAGTTCCATCAAAGCAGTTAAGATGACAAGATATTTGGAAGGAAAAAAGTTTTAAAAAATGGATGATGAGAAGCAGGAGAGACGTAGGGAGATCAGATAGTTGGGAGAGAAACAAATAAAAAAGATAACGTAAGAGGGCAAGGCAGTAGAGAAGAAGACATCAAAGTGAATACTCAATTAATTATTTGATATAAAATAATAGGTAAGACACTAAGTTAAAGATACCTTGGTTAAGAATAGGTCATGAAATTCTCTCCCTTTCTCCTTCAATTTTACTTCATCCAAATTGCTGCATGCATAGAAAAGAAAACCATAAGATCACTCATATAAACAAACAAATTGATGCCTGCATAATGTGGAAATCAAAAGGTAAAACTAAACTGTGTAAGCCCCTCACAATTACACCAGAAATTAAGAAATTGAAAGAGCATGGTTAATTACTCAGTCAATACATATTGGCCTGTGTTTCTTTACTATGGGGGATATTTTTGCAATGGTAGGTTTTCTCCTCTACTTCTAATGAAATGAAACACCACAGAAACAGAATTTATATGGTGATATCATTTACAAAGTTTTAACAACGAACCTGAGTTCTTTAATTATTTCATTCAGCTTTCTTGTTGCAAGGCGGGACTCCTTTTCTAGAAGTGGAATAATCAAAGGAACACTGTCCATGTACCTTAAAAAGCACATAATGATATATTTTTAGTTATGCAACATAAAAGAACAACAAGGAAATGTGTATGGGAGAAACAAAATACACAAAGGCAGTGAAAAGATATTATACCTTTTCTGTAGCAATTCCTCCAAGAATGACCTTAGTTTGCTAACACCTATTCTACTTCTTTCTTGCTTTGATAATGGACGGCCTAGTTTTTCCTCCAAAGAGGCAACATCTTCCACCTCTCTTAAGTTTACGGCCTGCATAAAGAAGTTTAATCATGAACTTATGATCTAGTAGATTTAGAATAGCACTAACTGCATACATTGCAAGTGAGGTTTTATAATGTTTAATACGTAAAGTTTTTAATGCATATCTTTATCGGTCAGAATCTTGACTACAAAAAAACTTCTAAAACTGTTTAAACATAGAGGGAGTTTGGCATTATGTTCAGCCCTCTGTGCATGAATTCCAGTGCACTAAAACCGCAGTTTTGCCAAAAGTTGGAAGAAACAAAACCATTCTTTCAGCCAAAATTTATTTTGTTGGAGTAAGGGCACCACAAAGCAAAATTGGGCTTAATTTTGAGTCATACTCAGCTTCACAGAAACTAGAAGGGTAAAATGATTACATAATTAGATAACATAAAAAGATGTTTACTGTGGATTTGCCCCTGAACTGAGCATTCCATCTTTGCAAATTATAAAAAATATAGACAATGTAATTCTCTGCCATGAGATGAGTTTAGTCATTAATTTATGTTCTATAACAGATTTACAAGGGAGGTTCAGTCTTTGCATGTGATCTACAGGGTAGAATCGGTAGGTTACGTTCTCTTTCCTGTCTAAACAAATTCCAAAGACAACATAGGTTTTGTAGTTGGACAAACATACCTGCTTAAACTCATCATTTGACTTGTAAACTGAATCATGACTCAAACCAACTCTTCCAGAAGGCACAGATGTGAAGAAGGGAGAATCACCCAGTATGCAACCATCCAGTGTATTACTAGGTGGTGAAAGAAAAACTTCAACATCTGATGACCGAGCAAACTGGGGTATTTTAGTGTCAAGCTTGGTTGATACAATAACAGTCCTCGAAAGTTCAGGATCAATCTGTAAGCAAACAATAAAAGAAATAAAGCTCTGTAAAATAGTAGGGGAAGATTTAAAAGTATTTCATCATTCCTAAGATGGCCGTTTATCAGTATAAATTGGGCAACTTACAACTCATCCTTTGTCAGGATGATTATAATCATAATAATTAAAAACGGATTTTCTTGAAAATTCTGTAAATTAAAGTTGGATCTAAAGAACTTCACACTTCCATATTCTATTATCTAGGCAAGATGAAATAAGACTCACTGCCCTCCACTGTCTGGTGGAAAAGCAAACGGCCCATAAAATGTAAGTTTCTCAAAAAGCAAGGACGAACAATATTAAAATTCTCGTATTCCCCTCTGAATCCCAGAATTCTCAGTATAAAACGACCTAAAAAACAAAATGTATCAGCTATAAGGCAATTAAAAGGAAACATACTTGCATTACCACTCTTCGAGTGGTTGCATTACTCCAATCACTGCAATCTTCAAGACATAATATAATGAACTCCTTATGCTGCATTTTCGCTCGTACAAGAGACTCCACAGCACGAGCTTGACTCTACAATGAAACAAATTCCAACACCATAATTACCACAATCACAATACAACTAACAAGAAACAAACTTTCAAGTAAGAATTCAGAGCATTTCCATTTGTACCTGTAATGCTTGATTTTTTCGACCTGGTGCAGGAGCAATGAGTCCAGGAGTATCAATAATAGTAAGATTAGGGCAGAATTTGTACTCCACTCTTATAATTATCTCCTTAGCTGAAAATTGACATGTCTCACGCTCCAATCTCATATTTTCAGACTCAATATATGCCTAGCCAAACAAAAACATAATTAAAAACTACAAAATGGGGAATTAAAAAGAAGAAAGGGATTAGAGTAATTGTATTTTTACCTGAATTTCGTGAAGAGACTTCTCTTGAGCAAGGGTAGGATCATCGTCGGAGACAAGATGACAAACAGGGACCTCACATTGAGGATCATACTTCATATGGAGAGTTATAGGGCGTCGAGTCTTGGTGCCGCCGCCGACGTGGTTGAATTGGAAGCCCATAAGAGCTTCCACTAACGCACTCTTGCCGTCCGTCTGGTGGCCCACCACTAGTACCGCCGGAGCGTCAAATGGAGTGTTTAGCTCTTGAGCTAAGCCGTGAAGCTCGTTGTACGCTTCGTAGAGGGTCCATTGCTCCGGCAATGCGGTTCTTCCCGCCATAACTAGTTAGAATTAGAGACTGAGAAGCCAAACAGTGAGCGAGTTCTTTATCCTATCCGTACAGCAGAGTGTAGGAGAGTCCACAGCACGAGACTTGGAAGCTTCGGTTCAGGAAATTTCCGGGATCTGAAACGGCACCGTTGCGAGAGGTTGGGCCGACCTCTAAGTGTCAGGTTTCAGCCCATCCTCTCATTTGTAAGTCCACTTGCCTCTGTGTAGGACTATGTCACTAGGCCTCTCACCTATGTGAATGTTGGTCCATTTTGGAATTTCATTAGAAAACTTCTTCTTTTTTTTTTTTTTTTTAAAATTTCACCCTTTTGGCAACAGAAATTACGAACCTTTTTTTTTTTTAAAAGAACTATGATAATTAATTAATATTTAAGCTGCCTATATACAATTTGTTGCATAGAAGACCAACTAATTAGCTAATGGTTCCATAAACTTTTTGAAAACCAAAAAAAAAAAAAAAAAAACAAGGGGTTCACGAGTAAACTTTTTGAACAACCAAAGAAAAAAAAAAAAAAAAAAAAAAAAAAACAAGGGGTTTCATTAATAATTCATAGCAAACCTAAATATATACATTATTCGATTTGAAATGAAATTTAAACTAATAATTCATTGCAAATAATCATATTCTATTCGATCATTGATAGTATGGAGAAATGTGTAATATTACTGAAATCTTTAACTTTACGAATATGATAAATTCCGCATAAAATTTGGATTGTCTCAAAAATCTTTATAAAAAAAAAGGATAAATTTATATATTTGGTGAATATATATTATTATTTGCACCGGTCATTCGGTTGTTTATTCAAGCTTAATCTTTTATCAAAACAAAATTGAAAGATTTAATTTTAACAAAAATAAAAATTTAAGTATTAATGCCAAAAAAATAAAAGTTTGATGGTTTAATTTTAAAAATAAGGGAAATCTTTATCAAATCCAATTTGTGTTCAATGTTTATGCTTATTACTCTCTAATCTTTAGTTAAATAAAGATTAAATTTCAATAAGAATAAAAATTCGGAAACTCAACACATGAGGAATTGTATAAGTGTTATATTCGAGTTAAACAGAACTTCTGTTTATATCAAAAAAGAAGACGATCGTACGATTTAATTAAGGATTTAATCCGTGTAAAACACACAACAATCATAAATTTCGAAATGAAAATAATCTCATATTCAAAGGGATTTAGAGATACTCGTGAGAATACCAAAACCATACGGCAATATCTCATATTCAAGAGGGATTTAGAGATACTCGTGAGAGAATAGCCGAGAGAACCATATATTACGGTCAATATATTATATTAATATATATGAGTATATAAAAGATAAACTATTATATAATATATAATAATTATTAAGGAGATAATATATATAAGTTGCATGCAATATATATATGCATGCATGAAAATGGATTGAACCTGAATTGGATGTGGTAGGGGCCATAGTTGCAGAGTCGCAGTTTGAGTTTTAATTTTCTTCTACATTGAGAAAAGTGACAAATGTTTTAATGCTCACATGCCCTTCTGAGATGGCCAATCCTCCTTCTTCTACGAGACAATCAGTCTTTGTTTCAATAAAAATAACCAACGAACAATAAATATTTTGAAGATAGGTCAAAGCTTTTCCTCTGCAATTGGCTCAAACATTTTATTATCCCTTTGATGTCATTGCTCATGGTGGATCCTACATCTGGATTTCTGTCTGAACTGCAAACTGTGATAGGATAGATTAAGAGCAACACTAGCAATTTTAACCCTGTAAAATAATTACTGTCTAAAAACTTATTTTTCTATTAATTAAAAATACATTTTTATTCTTTTTTTAAAATGACCCAATTTGAACTTTTATATTATGTTTTAAATGTAACTGTAATACGTTAGAGAAGAAAGGAAGAGAAACACTAGCCTATTCATGGCTCCACCTATGGACAAAATCAATAAAATTAAATATCTTGGAGAAAATCTGGATCTATGCCAACCTGCAACTATACTTGCAGGGTTCCAAATGAATTGACTTATTCGAAAAAAAACCTTGTTCTTTGAAATATCTATTTCGTATCTAGTACTGCATGGTTCCATTCTGTAAGAACTCCGAATCATTCTCTTGAAGCTAATATAACTCTACCTAAAAGTCATTGCAATTTCTTTTTTGGGAGTCTAACGGTCGCCACCTATACTTTTCCTTTCAATAAAAACTCCCAGGGGTGAGCAAACTTTGAACAAAATTGAATTATTTTCGATTTTTAGATTGTTTATTTAATTATTGATTTTCAATCTTCTATAATTTTGATTTTCGATCTTTGGATCGGTTATTACAAAATACTTATTTTCTGAGTAACATTGAATCATTTGATTGAACTGATTAATTTGACTCGATTTTCAAACTTAATTTATTTGGTTCGATTTCAAAAAAAAAAAAAAAAAAAAAAAAAAAAATCGATTTCACAAAAAAAAAAAAAAAAAAAAAACTATTTTTGGTTAAAAAAAAAAAAAAAAAAAAAAAAAAAAAACTATTTTTGGTTTTCGTAATTCAGTTTCAACCCGCCATGTACACGCCCATAATTGAAAGCATGAACAAGTATATAGAGTAGTTGATGCAAAATTTAGATTTTGGGAAATACAGCAAATATACATTTAAATTTATTATAATATTTTTAAAATATAATAAGAGTTTATATAAAAAAATATTAAAAATATTAATTTTGAAATATTAAGGGTGACAGTGACTTTTCCTCGCAACTGTATTTGTAGGTGTTCACGTACGTGCGCAGCGTATGTATGTATGTATGGGCACACATGAGCAAGAAATGCATACAAAAGTGACAATACAACATAATTGGAAACGAAAAATACAATACAGCATACCAGTCAACTAATAGAAAGAGAGTTTACAGACGTCTTGATCAACAAAATTTCGTTATATGAAACCATTATTAAGAAGAATATTAAGCAGAATTATTAAAAATAATATTAAGCAGTTTTTTTTTAATCAGAAGTTTCGAATTTGAATTTTAACTATAGAGTCCCTTTAAATACTAAGAGAGAGCGGTTTGCTACTCTTCTAAGAATATACCTGGTGTAAATCTGAATTAGTCGGAGGAGTAGTCTTTCGGATATCGGATAGTTTAAACAAAATATATAATATAGGGTGTGTATGGAGAAAAGCCGGCTGACTCGAGGGTAAAATGTTGGATCCGAGGAGTTTTTTCCTACCTTTTTTTCCTTTTTCTGGGAAGAAAATGATGCAATTAAACTAAGAAGGGCAAAATCAACCCTTACAAGAGTGTCAAACGGATGAGCTATCTCCTCAGTAATAATAAATTATTGATTTTCCTCCTCAATAATAATAACCTAGGCTAGCCATGCATATTCGAAGGGTCTTTGCATCATTTCCGACTGTAGGACTCATCTTGCAATGCATATCTAAGGATCTCGCACAACCGTATATGGGCTCAATGCCTTCGGGAATCCCGGGCAACATAGTCCTACCTATACCGGAACCTCACCTCCGGAGAGGGGCGCACTATAGGCCCTCGGCCCTATAGTGTCCATAGAGCTCCTTCTCTATGGAGACATCAATCCCTCTTGATAGAACATGATGCCCGCATCCTAGCTCACTAGGGCTCTCCCTCTTGATAGAACAAAGATGCCCGCATCCTAGCTCACACTGAGCTCCGTCCGAGCATACTGGCCCCCTCCTGTTGGGGTGGCGGAGAGGCATTACGTCGGGTCTCCCCTCTCATATTATTGGTGCCAAATACCCTTCAACTATTGCTATTCCCTATAGTGTCCATAGAGCTCCTTCTCTATGGAGACATCAATCCCTCTTGATAGAACATGATGCCCGCATTTTTAAATTTAACAAGGAATAATCACCATTTTTTTATATATACATATTAAAAGACATAATTAAATTTTAAAAATAATAAATTAATATCACATATAACTAAAAAATTAAAATATTTAGTCTTATATGTTTATAGACAGTAGGTATACTTTACCCTTAATATTTAATAATGCAATTCATATAATTAACAGCTTAATAATTAATAATTATTATATTATTATAAAATCAACAAAAGATAATATCATTCATATTAGGATGTATCAATATATGTAGTCACCAAATCCATTAAAAAGTGCTAAATTCATAATATATATACATAAGCTTTTGTTCGTTTTCGGAAAATAACTTACCTTTGAAAAGCATTTTTCAAACGACTTATTTTTCCGTTGTTTGGTTGCAATATTGAAAATTAGTTAAAAATATTAAAATTTTTAACTTATAAAACCATAATAATAATAATAATAATAATTTTAAAAAATGAGTTTTAAGGAAAATATTTTCTAAATGACTTATTTTTCGTTGTTTGATTGCAATATCGAAAATTAGTTAAAAAATATTAAAATTTTTAACTCATAAGTCCATAATAATAATCATAATAATAATATAAAATTTTATATTTAAAAAATTTTTATTGTTAAATATGAGAATAATAAAAAAATGGTAAATTATGAAAGTCGCAGGTGACCGGTGGTAGTGGTAATAGCTACCGATGAGTAATAAATTAAAAAAAATATGAGTTTATAGGATTATAATAAGTTTGTCAAAGTTCTAAAAATGTTTTACGGTCTTGAATTGGAAGTCATTTTCTTTAAAAATGACTTAATTTTCCTTTGGCCAGGAAAATATTTTAGAAAATATTTTCCATTAACTTATTTTCCTGAATGCCTCCAAATAATGAAAAATTGTGAAAAATATTTTTCTGCAAATTATTTTACAGAAACAAATCGAGAGTTAATATCATTTAAAGAGATTAGAATTGGATATTCGAAAATTTGGTTTGTTGAAAATGAGTTCTATCCCATATACAGTATCAAGTGGAAGCAGTCCCACATCAAGCAAGTAATTGATCTGTGAGCGTTGCTCCTAACAACTAACAAGTCAGTTTTTCAAAATGAGTACCCAATTGATGTGGATAATTACTAATTAATTCGAAAATGATTTGACTAAACCCACATTAATTATTATTAACATTGGTAATATGTTGTAGATCAATGATAGGACCTAATTGATGATTAGGAACACTACCAATGTCACGCCCAATTTTTCTGTGTCTGAATGAAAATATAACAGTGTTATTGTGTTCTGATGATTATTTGGAGATGTTGGAAGTTCGTAGTTTAACTAGGAGTGATGTTTGCCTAGCTTAGTTTTAGGTAGGACTCAATCAATTTATTTATATAAAAAAAAAAAAAAACATGACATATAATATTTAGCATACAGGATGAAATCAACATGACAGGACATAGGTTCAACCAGATTGTAGCGTCTCGGTTCGGTTCATTTGGGTTAATGGGTGGACCAGGAAGGGATGTTACAACCAATTAAAATATATGTAAGTCAAACATATGACACAGTAAGTCTGGTTATTAGTCTTCTCATCTGCGTGGAGACAGAGTGAATATAGTCTACAGTGTTCTTTCGATCCTTTGATCCTCCTAATGAATAAAAAAAATCGATTTTATATAAATTATTCTTTTTTCTATTGATTAAAATGCATTAAAAGAGAAGTGTATGTTGTTCTATTTTTTGCACAAATCTAATTATTATAGTCCAAAAAAGAGTAGTGTATCATACTTTTAGATTCATTGAATCGTTGAAAATTTTTATAGTTGAGTCAACTAAAACTCGAAATTTTTCATTCTTTCTATAAAAAAAAGTGAAAATATCAATCAAATTGCATTTAATTTTTGTATTAACACCGCATTTGAAATGAAAGAGATCTAAATTTGTAATTTTGAAATTAAAATAAAAAATGTTGTTAATAAAAATTAGTAAGTACATTTGGAATTGAGTTCCTAGTATGATAATATGATAATTAAGCCAATGTATAAGCATTGATATTTGCTCGTCAACGCACCCAACTAAAAAAAATATGCAACGGTTAGATAAAATAAACTTAGTCATGTATAATAGAACCAAATTCTGACCAATTTAGAAGACAATGCATGAAGAACTAGTCGTGAATCAACAGCTTGAAGTAAAAAATTATATCAGAAATTCAAATACTCATTTGTTTTAATTTATTAATTTTTGAAATGAAATCCAACTAATTAAACTGTTTAAACATCTACAAAGAAACAATTATAAAAAGAAGGGAAAGTGTGAATCATTTCCATATATATTTCTTCACAAAGCAATTAATAAAACATGGGTACACAGCTTTGAAATTTCATGGATTTGTATATCAAAAAAAAAAAAAAAGAAAAAAAGAAAAAAAGAAATTTAATAAAAAATGGGTACACAGCGTTTGAATATTTCGAGTTGTTGATTTGTATATCAAAAGAAAGGAAAAAGAAAGAAAAAAAAGAAAAAAGAATGAATAGTGTCAATTAAGAATGAAGCATCAATTTCATAGACACAGATTACTTCTAAAACTCTGCAATTGAAGTTGGATTGTAAAGGTGGAGGGAAGGCAAAAAAAAAAAAAAAGAAAAAAAGAAAAAAAGATGATAGGTCAATTTAGAATGAAGCATCAATTTCATAGACCCAGAACTTTAAACTCTAGCAATTAAGTGGGAAGGTGGAGGAGGAGGAGGAGGCGCAGGTGGTGGTTGGCTGGAGTTGAGAGCTAGACAGTGAGTACAACCCAATATTTATGGTGGAGAGATATAATAGCTATTAAATACCTAAAACGTAGTAGCTAGAGTTGCAGCAAAAATAAAAAATATGGGTATGGATGTTTATGAACCAAAGGATGGTGCTATTGCTAGGGCAACAAGTGTTGGTATAAATAACCGTATGGTCATTGACGAATATAGCTGTGAAGATACCCTGCATGCAGCTCTTGAAAATTGGATTTATTGCTTGTATATGCTTCTGCACATGTTTACGCACATCTAAAATCTTGAATAGAAATATACGTTATTTTATATATATATAACCGGAAAGTTTAATAACCATGTTTCTCATAAGTATGTTTTTCAAAAATCGAACTTGTGTTACCATCCTTACGGATATTGAAGTCTGTTACTATTTCAACTAATATCTTGTTCGTAGACAATATATATTATTATCAATTAATTAATTTTTAGTTTAATGATACTAACTAAAGTTATTCATATGTTTGTGAGATTGCAAGTCAACTTGGAGTTTAATTAATTAATTAAGTAAATAAATTAATATTCAATTGATAAATGAGTTTGTACTCATTTTATTGACATAAATTGAGTTATTTAATTTCATAAATCAACATAAATGGGATCAAAAGAAGAAAAAAAAAAAAACAAGCATCTCTAACACTAATTAAACAACTCATAAAATTATTCCTTTTTTCTATTTCTTTTTTTTTTTTTTTAAAGATACAATAGAAAGGACATTTTGGACACAATCTCCATTACTCAAAAGAAACCAAACCTAGTTAACATGTACTGTCTAGAAATAAAGACAACAGTAAGCACCAGAAACAAAGACAGAAATAACAGTAAGATATATAGTGTACATAATAAGTGTTTCACATCTACCCATATTTTCTTTTTTTTCCACTCATATTGTACGTAAAAAGTGTCATCACTCTTCTTCTTCTTCTTCTTCAAATTTTCTTTTCCACTCATGACATTGCATTGAATTAACAAAAATAAATAAATGAAAAACAAAATATTAATAGATTTTTTGCACACGTTCACAAGTGCAAACGAGAGTTTATCCTTTTCTTTTTAATTTGAAATTAATGTTTTTAATTTATAATAATTTTGTAATGAACCTTCGAGTACCAAACGCTCTTGTTTGTACTACGTGAACGTGCACATAAAATCAAAATAATAATAATAATAATAATAATAATAATAATAATACCATAAAAATGATTGAGATAGCAAATGAAAGAAAGGAAATTTTCAAAAATGGTCAACGACAGGTATCTTTGACCATTAATGAAATTGGTAAACCTAGTTTCCTTTGGTCTTCTCCTTCGAATAGTTCTTGGAATGAAAATCAAGAAACATAAACAAAAGAGAAGTGATGAAAACGGCGTCGAAGCACCAACCCATGATTCCAGAGCAACCGGAGCCAGTAAAATGGTAGTAGAAAATCCACGCCATGATTGCAAAGCTTGAGAAGAACTGCGTAATCTGGCAGTCTGTAACCAATTTTTTCCATCTGGGTCTTTTCCCTAAAGCACAAAGAAAATAATAGAAGTACACAATCACATGCACAAGTGCATTAGTAACAAGAACTGGTTGGAACATCGACTGAGAAATGTTTAAAGATATATAACACATAACCACCACGACGGAGTGGTGGTAGAGGTGGAGAAATGTCAATCTTTGAATGGAATTGCTCAAAATTATCAAAAGGGTATCCATAAACTCATAAATCTTGGACAAATAAAATATATAAGCCCAGAAAAAGAGAGGTCCTGTTGGCGGAGTTTTCTTAGGGAAACAAACGATATAATCAATGTCTGGTGCAAGAATGAGAATGGAAAGACTGCAACCAAGCGCCATAACGTAGGAAAGTGAAAGAAGAACCACATCATGAACGGCAGTGAGGTTTCTGACAAATTTAGGGCTGAAATTGGGTTTGGTTACGTGAGAGAGAAAAAAAGTGAAAAAAAGATATGAAAGAAGAGTAAGTGTAAGGAAAAGCAAAGAAGAAGCTGGAGTTTCGCCTTGTTTCCAAGAAAAGTTGACAATTATTGGATGGTCGACTAGCCAATATCGGACAGTTTGAAAAACCGGTTGGTGGCTAAGGTGGTTCATTACAATATATTTGGCATTTTGGAAAAGGAAGTCCATGGTTGCCGGCGGCCGCGGTGGTGATTAGGGTTTTGGTGATGTTGCGAGAGAAAAGGAGAAGGAAGAATTTAAAAGAGGATGTCAAAATTTGAAAGTACTCAAGTGAAGTTTTAATGTGATTGCAAGCAGTTGGTTGCTCATCAGACATCCCAGTATCTGTCCTTTTCCATTTATTTCCATTTACTATCCTAACCAAAAACTATAACTCACTCGCAAAAAAAAAAAAAAAACAGTATTGCAAGCAGTTTGGTTGCTCATCAGACATCCCAGTATCTGTCCTTTTCCATTTTTTCCATTTACTATCCTAACCAAAAACTATAACCACTCGCAAAAAAAAAAAAAAAAACAGTGATATGTATATATAGCGATCCAATGATTAAGTATTAGTCTGCCATAAAGATTGGGTTGAAAAATGTGTTTATAAACAAAAAATTAAAAAAAAAAAAAAAAAACAGTGATATGTATATATAGAGATCCAATGATTAGTATTAGTCTGCCATTAACGATTGGTTGAAAATGTGTTTATAAACAAAAAATTAAAAAAAAAAAAGATTGGATTGAAGTGCATGCATGACAATAAAATTAGAAATTTTGCATGATTATTTTTTATTTTCGATGCATTAGTTCATTTAAATTAGAATATTATTAAGGTAATCTCTCTATTTATTGTTTATAAAGATTAAATTCTCTTTTCGGACGAATTTAAGAACACTGTGTGATTCGATAATTCGTATTTTATGAAATTAATTAAAAAGTTCATGTACCAATATGAGAAAGAAAATAGAGATATATGATTTTCCGGTTGGTGTTAATTTGATGACTATTATTTTATGATATGCCACATTCAGTGCTAATTTTCATGACCCTTATTTTAATTATAATGCCTTGCTTGGTGTTAATTTCATGACTCTTATTTATGAGTTCCTGCAGTTTTCAAGCTGATAATTAAAACCTTTTATTATTTTTATTTATACTTTAAATATAATAGTTTAATTTCTTTCTGGTTGATTAATTTCTTTCATTAGAACACGTATATGCATCCTCTTTTAATTTGACATGCTTACTTTAAAAAGTATTGTTCTTTTCAATCGTCTGAGATATCTCCTGTTAAGCCCAGATCATATCTTTATTTTTGGACTAAATCCATAAAATTTAATATTTTTATTAAAATGAGAGTATTTCTGACTATATATTTAAAAAAAAAAGAATAAAGTCAGAATACTTTTTAAAAATTCTTAATTTTAATTGCTTGGTCCGATCATATATTTTAAATTTATTTCATTGTTGTCTGATCCGATAAGCAAAAGATATAATTAATGTGTTGTATCAATAAGACAAAAAAAAAAAATACAAGATAAAAAGAAAGTGATTTTAGAGAATGGAGACATTTTAAAATCCATGAGAACAATAAATGTTGTCAAATACTCATCCGTTTCATTTTGTTTGCTTATTATTTTTTTCTTTTGATGTCCCAGAATGTTTGCAAAATTTTTAAATTTATATATGTAACAATTATTTTTCTCATGATAAACTTTATGATATTTCGTTAAATGACGATTTTTTTTTAAATATCTTAATGAGTTTAGGATAAAAAAGAGTAAAATAATTTTTATTGACTAAATTTTTAATATGCGTGTTTTGTCAAATCATGCAAATAAAATGAGACGAGGAAGTAGTAATTAAGGAGAGTAATTGTGCATTTCTTTCAGTATTATTAAGTACTTATTACACTTTTTTATTTGGTACCTTTTATTACACAATAACTCTTCCCTTCTTCACCGGATTAATCTCTCCCACCTGCCATGCCAGCCAGGATACCAATTTAATACATTAAATTTCAATTTTTTGAGTTTCCTTTAGAATAATTTCCAAATTTTTATTTGCAAAAATTAAAAATTAAATGCTGAAAAAATAAATATTCAGAATTGAAAATGCTGAATAATTGAAGTGATGAAAATTTTAAATTATAAAATAATTTAACAGCTTAATTATTTGTTTATTCAAATTTTTTGACTTACAATTTTAAGTGAATTTAATTCAATTAAAGTAATTTAAAATTATTATTAAAAATTATAAAGATTTTTTAAAAGTTACTTTTACTTTATTTTCATTTTTCAAGTAAATAGTCAAAATTTTAAAAATATATTTTTATTAATTTGATGCATAAGTAAATTCATAGATGAGTCTAAAAAAATCAATATCGCCAAAAAATGGAAATCTTGCTTTCTATGTATGTATGAATGATGACAACGCGTATCGGCCAACTATTGTACCTGAATAAATTTATTACAAATTTCCTTTTCCTATCCACGTGGCCCTCTAATAATGCATTTGCATTTGCTACTCCAGTTACATCAACACCGTTTAATCAATTTTCATTATAAAAATCTCAAAGAAATTTCATTTTTAACCAGTAAAAAAATTTTTACTTTATTAACTAACAGAGTTAAAAAAAAAAAAAAAAAAAAATTAAACCAAGTAAAAAAATTTTTACTTATATTAACTAACATGAGTAAAAAAAAAAAAAAAAAAAAAAAAAAACTTAAAATAACTGAGAATTAAACCTGAGCTAATAGAAAGAAATAAATGAATGAAACAATCAAAATAATTATGAAAATAAGATGAAGTTATACCCCACACAGCAGTCAGGATGCGACATGTCGCAGATCGTACGACAATTGTTGTTATTGCTCGTCTTCCCATGTGACCTTAAATGCAACATATAAAGAGAATCTCCACGAACAAAATGGAAATGAACTGTAGGTAGGTGTAATTTTTTTTTTTTTTTTTTTGAAAGGAGGTAGGTGTAAATTTAAAATGCCATAAATTTTACTGGTTCGATTCACTCCCTGGTTCTGCAGGTTCGGCATTTGCTTAGCCTGGAATGAACTGTACAGATTTTTTTATATTTATAAATGAACTTTTTTTATATATTATTAATATTTTATGACTTATTAATTAAACTCTTAACTCACTGATTAAGCGAATGACCTGTCTATCTGAGTTTTTACTGAAAATATCCAGACCGAATTTAATAATATTGCCCGAAGCAAATGACTTATCCATCATTTTTTTACCGGGCTAATGTCCAAGCCGAATTTAATAACACCGAAGCGAATTAGCTATCCATCCTATTTTATTGGGCTAATGTCCAGACCGAGTTTAACAACACGGGCCGAAAAAGGTAAAGAATAGGTTTCATCCCGTATGAGTAAACTGAGTTTAATGCACGACTGTACATAATGTCGGCCATAGAAAATTGAAATAGGAAGTAGTTAGGGTTCAATGCATAAAATTGATTTCCAAATTTTATAAGAAAATTTTAATGACACCCTCAATTTTTCAAATTCATCCATTAAATCCTTCTACTAATAAAATTTCATCAATTAAATAATTTATTTTATAAAAATTCCACTATTAAATATAATTTTATAATTTTTTAATTATTGGATATATATTCAATGAGTGTACTACTTTTATGCTTTTTTTAAAAAAAATTACCTTTTTCCTGAATAGAAAAACAGTTTATTTATAATAGAAATCATTAACGATTAAAGATTCTACATTAAAAGGAAAATCAAACTTATTTATAAATTGAAGTATTTAATAAATGTTATTTTACGAGTTTAAAGATTTAGAAACTCCGGCGTGTGAAAAATTATACGGCTTCTTTAATAAAGATTAGACCTCAACCTAAATAAATGTAATGTTGTATGATAAAAATGGGCAACCTGGATGGATAAGGTTGAGAAGTGTTTCTCATGTCTTCTTAATGGTTTTAGATCTAAGGATTTCCTTTCCCATGTGAAATATGGGCTCTATAGACTGACAACACTTCCATGGTGGCTGAGCCATGGACACTCCTAATTAAGGTTTGGTAGTAGCTAAGGACTAAAATGTTAGAATATTTCGTATTGATTGAATGTTAAAAAAAAAAAATCAATAAAATAATTAATTATGATGCTATGCGACTTCAATTTCCGTAAAGATAGGAATACAAGTTTAATTGTTGAAAAAAAAGAAAATCTTTATATGAAATGATTACTTTTATCATGTTCCCAGAGGATTGGAAGGGGTGTTGGGCAACTCTCGCTTCGTCAGCAAAAGAAAAAAAATTAAAAATTTTCCCTTTTTAAATTTTTAATTTTATCTCTTAAAACATTGCATCTTATTAAAATTTGTCTATCTTATTATTATTTCTTTTGAGTATTTGAACATGGATCTATTATCAAATTATATATACACTTACCACTAGACTATATCCTAATGTGCAAATCAATACTCTTTCTTAAAATAAATAAGAGTTGTGCTCGGCAATAATTTTTTAAGTAACTTTTAGTATTTTGATAAACGTTACTGTTGATAGTATTCGGTAACATAAGATTTTAAACTAACTTTTAAAGGTTAAGGTAATTTTTTATAAGAGTTAACTTATGCACTATTTAGCTTTTAGCGTATTATAAAAAACTACTCAAACAGTTAATAGCTAAATGCTATTATGACAGTTAACAGTTAATTTTACAGAAAACAGTTAACAGAAAACATTTAATTTTACAGAACAAACCGAAGGAGCAGGAAAAGTTTGGTATGGACTCCTTGTATGGTGGGCAAAATAGGACTAACTAGCTAGCTAATGCCCACTGCCCTGCCCACTTCAAGTTAGGGCCTAGGAGACCCAAGAGGTGGACCTCATGGTTAACCAAAAAGGGTCAAGGCTAAAGTTGGAGAGGTATGGTCCTAACCATCTACTTGACAACTTGACATTCCCATGAATGCGATAGCACATTACACTGCCATCCAAGGAATAAAATTTTAAAATCAATTTTCATTTTCAAGGTAATTGAAAATGAAATGTAGGGTATAAATAAGTGGAGCTACTTGAATTTGTAATAAAAAATGTTCAAATTTGAGCCAACATTAATCTATTGGAGGCCCAACCCTAGTCAACTACTTTAAGACTTGACATTTCCATGAGCATGATGGCACATTATATTGCCATTCATATGTATAAAATTGAAATTAATTCTCATATTTAGGGTAATTTAAAATAATGTGTCATGTACATCTAGGGATTTAAGTAAGGAGTTACTTTAAATTCAGCACCATTAATATTCGAAATATATCAAAAAGTGAAAGTGAAATTACCTAAATCCCAATTTAAGACAATGAATATTTAGATTCAATTCCATTTTAATTGATTTAAGATCTAGTTGGCAATTTGAATTTTAATTGATTTTATTGAGCTAAGTTCCATCTTGCATTTAAAATAAGATCTGTATATCCATTTTTATCAACTAAAATTTTAAATGTCTTTTTTTCTTTTTATGAATTTTAATTTTCAAATTATGCCTATGAAAATTACTTTTTTGTCCTTACTTATAAAGTAATAATAATATAAAAGAAAAGGTATATTTTTAAAAATATAAAATGTATCATTCCAACCCACATATCATATTACAAAAAATCTCAATCAAAATTGAGAACCAATCAATTAAAACCCAATTGAACAATAATTCCAAAACATAAACTACACAGAAACACAAAATGCAATCTACATAATCATCAATCATGCCTGTTTATCTTCTTCATCAACCTTCTCGATCTTCTTCTTCGCATAGCTCTTCCCATGAAAATTAACAAAAAGAACCAAAAGAGAAGCATTAAAAATGGCATTGAAGCACCAACCCCACATACCAGAACACCCTAATCCTGTAAAATGGTAATAAAGCATCAAACATGAAACTGCAAAGCTAAACACAAATTGCACAATCTGGAAATCAGTGACCAATCTTTTCCATTTAGGCCTCACACCCATTGCACATAATAGATAGTAGTAGTACATTAACACATGTACCACTGAATTAGTGATTAAAGCTATTGGAAACAAAGATTGGCTAGTGTTTAGCCACAAGTAGCACATAATCACCACCGTTGCGTGGTGGTAAACGTGGAGGAATGTCAACCGTTTGATTGAATTACTAAGAATAATCAAAAGGGTATCTATGAATTCAAGAATTTTTGAGAGGTAGAATATGTAGGCCCAGAAAAAGAGTGGCCCAGACGGTGAAGTGTGAGGAGGGAAGCAAATTATATGGTGTAAGTCAGGAGCATGGTAAATGATGGAGAAGATGCAACCAGAGGCCATGATGAAGGAAAGGAGAAAGAGAGTAAAGCTATGGAGGGCTGTGATGGGTTTTAGAAAGTGGGGTCCAAGAGATGGGAGTGACGCATAGGAGAGAAGGAAAGTAAGGAAAAGGTAGGTGAGGACTGTGAAGGAGAGGAATTGTGGAGTGGAGCCAAGGGTTTGGCCTGGGGTCCATGAGAAGTGAAGGATGTTAGGGTGGTTTACTAGCCAGTATTGAAGAGTGGAGAGGATTGGGTTCATTATAAGGGTTTTACGCGCCGCCTTGATTGGTGGCGATGGGATACAAGGATTGGGCTTCAGAGGAAATAGAAGACTGATATTGTGGAAGCTGGAGAGGTTTTTGTGATTGTGTTTACTTATTATGCGGACCAAATATATATATATAGCCTTGTTCGCTGGAAGACGAAAAACGTGAAATCAAAATGGACGCTCCATCCAATCCCCGAGTTCCCGGCACCGACACAGCGGCAACCTCCGCCCCTTAATAATTTAAATTGTAAAGGGTGAATTATCATTTTTAATATTCATAATTATTCAAATTCGAGTCTTTTTATAACCACAGTTTTCATCATTTTTCATCAATTTAGTAAGCAAGGACAACTTCTGCCCCAGTGTTAATTCGGGACCAATGAATTGAAAAAAAATATTTTTATTATATTATAAAATTTTTTTTCTTGCAGACATTATTATTGTAATGGAAGTATTAATTATCTTTTAATAAAACTTTTATCAACTGAAAAAACATGGAAAAGAAACAAAAAGATGATACAACAAGGGGTTCTTGGTTTCTGCTTAGCACATCAGCCCAGTTTCAGTATCATAAATAGGTTTTGCAATTCACACAGAAGAGTTGAGCTTCAAGATTTATGAGAGATTATTTAATCATTGCTCAAAAAAACAACAAATGTTAGTTCAAAGCTAACCTAAGGCAGTCCATGTCAGGTGTCAAGATTCAACTTAAAATACCGTATTACAACAGAAAAACAACTGAGTTAAGAATCAAGACATATCTTCCCCCTAAAAAGAAAATTCTTCAGGTAACAGTTCCTTGCCTCTCGGTTCGATTTTGCGACTCTTGTGCAGATATACTGTAAGAAGAATCATGATGAATTTACTCCCAGCTGTTTTTAATCCTCAAATTGATGCATTGCTTTCATGTTATCTACGCGGTAGCAAAATTGAATTGTGACGGTGATTATCACATCAACTGAATTATGCTGAACCTGCAGTAACCTTCTTCCGGACAACCCTTTTTCTTCGTGTCTTTGGAGCTGATGCTCCCCCGTCAACAGAATCAACGCTCCCTTGTTTGATGCCAAGAAGCCCTAGCCCAGAAACAAAGGTTTTCTTTGATATAAACCATTTTGAAGATGATGTAGCAACATCTTCAACTGGTCTATTGTAAGCCTTCAAAAGGGTATCCGACTGGGCCAGAGGATCTGCCTCTGCCCCTATCCAGGCCAGTCTTGATGTCTCTCCGACTTGTACATTCAAAATCCTGCATGGGATCCAGAACAAAATCATATGAGTAGAGCTTCAAACCAAAATGTTCATCAAAATTGTAGCTATAACAGTCAGATGTGATCAGAGGATTTTAGAAATGGAGTGCAAGGCTTCAGTTGCATATCAAGAATGAATTTCCAAGGTAAACCTTATCATCGAGCCATCATGATTCACGGTGGAATTAAAATTCTCAACACAACAAGAGAAGAAATTGCAGTGAAAGGCTGCAATTTTATTTCTTTTATTGCACTTTCCTTTCACCTTTTAATTGAGCAACACAGTGAGATACCTACTGTAAGGGGTTTCACGCCCTTCCAAAAAATGAAGTACACTCTTTAAGCAGGAAGAAACAAACCTCATAGCTGTGCTGAAAAACAGTGCCACTCCAATAACATCAAAATGGCTGACCATTGCCCTATCAAATCCACATAATAGCTGGTATCTCAGGTTTGCATAAAGTCCAAGGAAAGCACCATAACCACGCGCATAGTTACTCACAGGCGGGACTGTCACAGATAACCTGCCAAACAAGTGAAGAGAATGAGTCAGTATAATTTGATTTAAGATAAACGAGCCTTTTTTTTATCCATTCCCACATGAAAACCACATAAAAAAATTTAAATAAGTGTCTCCTTGAAATATTGCTTACCTATCTTTCTTTTTACTGGCCAAGACATTTGACAATTGACCTTGGATTGCCCCAGCACTTAATCCAACCACACATAACTCAGCAGCCTTATAGAAGAACGAATGGACCCTCTTTTGCAAGTCAAATTCTCTAAGCGGGTAACTCTTCTCAAATATATTGTTTGGGAGCTTCTGTAGTGTATTTTGCAAGTCAAAACGGAATGTGTTTCCATATGAACGGCAAGGAGCAAGCGTCCAAACAACTATGGCATTGCAAACTGTTGCTGTAAGTACATTTACAAGCGCTAGATCCCATTCATGCTTTATCCTATCATAGTGGTAAAATTACTTATCAGTTCAGCAGTAAATGAAAATGACACAATTAAACTTGTACATCCACTGTCAAAAGAAAGAAAGCAAATACCTATCTTTGCGATTTTTCAACTCCCACCAAACAGAACAACCAATTGTAGCAGCCTGCTCTAAAAGAAGCCGATATAAAAAGGCAGGATCTGCAAGCATCCTGTAGAACAAAATATCACATGATCAAAAATCTGAAAATAATCCATTACAACAAGTTGAATACTAATCACATAGTCAAAAAGAAATTTCTTGGACTATATTAGGTTAGGGATGATGTTGAGCTGGATGCACTGCATGTCAACAGGGACGCCCAGTAGCTCACACGGATCAGATAATGTCCAACATAAGAGAAGTTGAAATAAATATATAGACTTATTACAATATCAAATTTGCTTCGTGTCATTATGTGGCAATTCTAAACTTGTCCAATAAAGTTATCAGAAGTTTTTTGCACAAGTTTAACCTTCCATTAACAATTCCCAACAGATGCTCAAGTATACAAATTATTCTGTTAGCTAACCAATCAGTATATTAGAGGAACCAAGTTGTAGTCACATGGAAAATTGTCATGTCGCCACAAACTTCCCACCATCACTTTCTTACTCTTTTTTCACCCCTATCACCAAGTCCTAAATTCTGCGCCCCCCCCCCCCCCCCCCCCCCAAGTCCTTAAATTCTGCGGCCCCCCCCCCCCCCCCCCCCCCCCCCCCCCCCCCCCCCCCCCCCCCCCAACACAAAAAAAAAAAAAAAACCAAAATCACTACCAATTCAACCACAATATAGCAGTGCACCATCACCTGGCCCTTAGAATAAGATAAAGAATGTACGAAAATTAGTGTGTTTACACAATCTCACTGAAGGACACTACTTCATATTGTAAAAAAAAAAAAAAAAAAACAAAATCACTACCAATTCAACCATCAATATAGCAATGCACCATCACCTGCCTTGAAAAGATAAAGAAATGTAGAAAATTTATGTGTTTACACAATCTCACTGAAGACACTACTTCATATGGTTCTCTAAAAATCAACATACCCATTCATGTATTCTATCTTCTCTCTCCCCCGCTCTAAATAAAATTATGGACGCACACATCAAACATGCAAACTCCCATTTCAGTAAAGTTATTCTTCAATATTTTTTCTGCTTCATGGTGAGGTCAATCTCACTTCCAGGAAGAACCATGATAAAAAAGCTTGACAACTACCAGATAACTATCTGGTTCTATTGGAAGGTTATAGCCATCTTTCAAACAAATCTTGAACTTCTCAATATAGCTTCAACAGCCTACAAGAATTGGCTTTTTTGCCTGAAATGAAATCTAGCCCCAGACTTGCTATCGAGCAGCTTATTCAAGGTAATTCTTTTTTTTTTTTTTTGTGTGTGTGTGTCTGTGAGAGGAGAGGGGGGTGGAGAGTTTGCATGGCTGCAATTTGGGCCAAATAATAGTTTCAGTGGTAAACAAGTAGAACCAAAATAAGGTTAGCATCACAGAAAATTTGTTAGTTTAATTCCCAACTTGCACAGTTTAAACTTCAAGGATCATATTGAGAAAATCATGCAAGTTCTTATTCCCAAAAGAACAAAAATTTTTATGTTGGAAATTATTGCTCTAAATAGAACAACTGTCCTAAGTGACTCAATCAACACTTGGCATTCCTCTACAGGCATAATCATTTAATCATATTGGATTTACAATAGCCATAAAGTTGTGATCTGATGAAAGATTTTAAATATAGCATAAGTTAAAAAATATTGAAATCCCAACATATTGAAATTACCTTCCAATAAATGCCCTGGAAATTGCTTCAGGAAGCGTTCTAGAGATAAACCTAGTAGTTGTTGGTCTGGCATTAATCGCTAGGAACTTGACCATTTGAGCTGAGCTGACCAAACCCTGGAAGGATTCTTGCACTCAGTATTTACCCGAAATATTACTTTCTAAAGAAATAATAATAAGCAATATTATAAAACATCATATTTCACCATCTCATAGGCTTGTCGAAATCCAGCAGGCAAATCCATCATTGTTTTCTGCCATTCGTTCAAAACAGCATCTACAAATTTTCTATCAAAAAGCTGGGCACAAACAAGGACAAAATCAATACAACAAAAGTTTATATGCTTAAAGAACAGTTATATTAGTAACAAATGTGTGTTAATGAGTTTCTTTATCATATGAGAATTCCAACCTCTTCAAGAAATTTCCTCCTTCTGAATAGTCCACCTTCATCTCCCTCATCACCATCATCAAAATCATCAAAGTAATCATCATCATCACCATCATCATCACCTCCATCACCGCCACCGTGATTTATTTTTTTCCCAATATCTCCACCACCTCCCCCAAGAGCAACCTGCAATTTCTCAAACGAATAAGGCATTTTGCCAAAAACATGGAAAAATCTAACACAAGGATGAACAATTCCAGTGAACTGGTAAACAAAATACAGGTAAAGGACTGGGTCAGAAAATAAGCACTTAAATGATAATGAAAGTCAGAAGCAAGTCCTTCCTCATCAAAATCTAAACTGCATGCTAAAATGCATCCAAATGTGCACATAGAGAAAGCAAACAAGTAAAACTGCACGTCCTATATGATTTGAATATGCAACTGTAAAATCAGCTGAATGCACTGGCCTTGATGAGATAGGATAGCTCAACAGCATGAAAGGGTGCAATTATTAGGTACCAAACCAACATCCCCGTTAATTCTCATGTCCCTGAACTTACAATTACTTAGAGTTATTCCAAAAGGGTTCAATTTGAATTTGCAATCAACAAATTATTGTCTATTGACAAAGAACTTACCTCAGGGCTAACCTTGGACTCTTTCTGCGTCAAATCAAGTTTCCCTTTCTCCAAAGTAACCGCCCCAAAAGCACCGAATTTCCCCTTCATAACCGGTCCAAACTCCCCTCTCGAACTCGACGCCGAACCTAAATCCACCGGTGCAGCATCCGGAGCAAGAAAGCATCTTTCTAAAGCCGAAACGGCATCAGCGCCATCGATTATCGAAGGAGACGAGCACTTAATGATAAGATTCCTTCGTAATTTACATGTCACCGGCTGGATTGCGGGCAACTGCTGCCTTGGACACAGTTGAGGAATCGGAGGCAGACTTGGCTTTAACGGTAAGGTCTTAGCGGCGGTTGTGGCGGTGGGGATTTGAGCTGTATGAAACACCAAATGAGACATCTTTTAGAGGAAAGGAGCTTTTTCTTTTTTCTGTTTGGAAGTGAGAAATTTTGCCTTATCTCTTGTTATTTTCCCAGAATTTGTTTCATTTCAGGGAAGAATTCGCTCCTCTCTCTAGAAATTGGGGGCTCTGGTTTAGAGAGAGCGAGTTAAAGAGAGGGAGAAGAGAAGGGAATGGGTGGGGTTTTGATGGGTGGATAGCCGTCTCACTAGGGGACAAATTCAATCTCAAATGAACGAGTTTGGTGAGATGACTCGGGCGTGTGGACGATTCAAATCGGTCCGGTTTAGCCGATTTGGATTGGTCAACTTGTGGCACCCGGTGCCTATTTCCATTATTCTATTTGCTCACTAACTAAACAATTGAGCAGTCTTTCAAAGCAGAAGAATGAACATCACCGGTTGGTCAGTTGTTTGGCGTACATTTACAGTTATATCCCTAATGTTAACTTGAAATTACAATTGATTTGGATTTTCATTTTTTTTTATTTAATATGAGTATCTCGAGCTAATACTAAATCTTATTCATGTCTTATCGGACCAACAAATATTAAACTTTAATAACAATTAAGAGATAAGAGCGACGAATCATTTATTCTACGCTGGATTTTCAATTCTTAACAAAATAGAATTATCATTTAATTTTTAAAATTTGATAGAAATTATTATTTGATAAAATCACTTTTTTTAATAAATAGGAGGGTATTAAGCTTTTTAAGAAAAATAATTCCACGCTTCATTAACTAAACAATCTGCACAAAATTTACTTCCCTTTACACCTTCACGACCCTTATGTGTTATTGATAGCCCATTTGGTAAAATCACTTATTTAACATTAACATTTAGCACCATTAAATAATTTAATATTTTCATCTAAAAAGTATTAATTTTATCATTAAATATTATTTTACCTAACGATGGAAATGAGTTAGTAATTTGAATAAACCTTAAGGGTTAAATAGTAATTCTTGCTTTTAATGTTTGTGTATAGTTTCTGCAATTTTTATTTCAGTCGTCCATGCTTGACCAACTTTATCAATTTTTTATAAAAGAATTGTTATAAATTTACGTACAAGATCATTGAATTGCTTAGCAATTATCAGTAACTTGATCAACGAGTTCATGTTTTGAAGATGGCAACAAGCAATCAAAAGCCTTTATCTCTCCATCGAAGACCAAAACTTCGTATCATTTCCCAATCATCCTTAGCTTTGTCAAGAAGAGAAAGAAAACTGTTCAAGAAAAGAAACCAAAACCTGCAAAACCCATACAAAGAAATAGAGAAACAAAAGCAAAAAAGGAATCTTTTTCCTCTCCCTCCTAAAGCCATTCTTTATCTCCCATCCATTTCTCTCTACAAGATATATAAAACCCTCTACGATCCTTCTTCTTCCTCAAGAACACACCCTTAAACAGAAACCCGAAATCCCCATTCTAAACTATGTCCTTAACCCATCGTCCTCGTGTTACAGTCAATGGAATACGAAGAATGAGAACTTTTCATTACTTCTGGTGCCAAAGCTGCCAGAGAACCATAAGATTAACCTCCATAAACCCACATGAAAATTTCTGTCCTCATTGCTTTAGTGTAGTAAATCATGAGCTAGACATATTAAGGCCTAGGCTAATTCCTGACCTGATAGAGCTTGAGCCTTCTCCGGCTTCAAGATTATTGGATTCATTAGCATTAACGCTTAATTCTTCAATGAGACGGCGATACATTGAATATCATAGAAGATTTCGTTGGGAATCTGAAGGTGCCAATTCACCTTGGATTACTCTTGAATTTCTTGAACCTCCCCGCCCACCACGACTTCCACAGCCACATACGGCGGTTCCTGGCGGTGTTGATGCTAATAATAATGGGAATACTGGGAATTTTGCTGATGTCGATAACTTGTTTGTTCCGGAGCTGACTGATCTTGACAGGCCCGGACCACCTCCTGCGGCTGCTTCCGCTATTGAAGCATTGGCAATGGTGAAAATTACACAAGAACATTTGATTAAGGATTCGACTTGTCCTGTTTGTAAAGATGAATTTGAGTTAGGTGGAGAAGTGAGGGAATTACCCTGCAAGCATTTGTACCATTCAGATTGCATTGTTCCATGGTTAAGTATGCACAATACTTGCCCGGTTTGCCGGTATGAAGTGCATGATGGTTTTGAGGATCATATACAGCAAGAAAATGGTCAATCTTTTGGATTTGAGGAGGTGGCAAATAGTATGAATTGGCTGAGGAACCAGTTTGTTTCTTTATGGCCTGTTCGTGCATTTTCAGTTTGGAGACAGAGGTATCTTGATTTCTTGGATAATCGAGTTGCAAATTCTGGAGGAGGTCAGTTTGGAATTTCCTATTCTTATTTTGTTCTTTTCTTTGTTTTTCTAATTTGTACTTTCGAAAAACTTAATGATATAGTTGAAATTCTATTCCTTCTCTAAATTATGCATATGGATATAAAAGAAAGAGTGCCTTTCTTCATTATCCTATATATAGCTGTTATTTTATGTACCAATTCTAAATGCAATAAGAATTTGAAAATCAAAATCTGTTCCATGATAACAGCTGACTGCGATTTCAAAAGTAGCTCCTCTTGCAATCTAGTGAATTTAATATGACATTGTGAGGGACATGGATTAAACTTTTTTCCCCATATTGGATGAAAGAGCTTAATCTGTTTTCTTCAGTCTTTTTGTAATTCTTGGTTGAAAGAGCTTAATCTGTTTTCTTCAATCTTTTTGTAATTCTTGGTTGGTAATTTAGCTCTGATAATTTCTTGCAGCTAGTCCCTGGTGGCGTTCCTGGCTCATTCTCTAGCTCTGCATTTCAACTGCTACTCAAGCTAGAATCTGTACATATTAGCCTTGTAATTGAATGATTTCTTATAGCTAGGCAGGTATCTGTAACTTATGCTAAATTTCAAGATTGCAAAGATGAAAGTTAAATTGAAGCTTAACAGGTAAGCTTCACACTTCTTGTTATCTCTCCGAAACTCCACCTCGGCCACCATATATGAGGACTGTTGGGCCATAAGCATAACTGGTCTCAATTGTGAATTTTAAGTTGTCTTAAATAACTCATTCTGTCAATATCTTTGCTGCAGATTTCTGAACTTGGAAAAAGGTGTTTAACCCATGATGGTGGATACTTCTGATTTCAGAAATGGGTTCGTTGTTGAAGAAACTAAATGGATTCCACTTGAACACAATTCGGATTTCGACTTCTTAAGGAATCATATAGAACTAGAAATTAATTCCAGAACTGATCTCAAATGTAATGGCAATATGTTCTGTTATGCCACATGACAATGCAATCACAAGAAATATTGATTCTTTAAAGGATAAACAGGCATAACTAATGCACTTCTTGGATTCTTAACATTTATATTAATTAATTTAATTATATTAATTTATTATTTAAGCCAGACAGAAGCAATTTAATATTAATTAAGCCAATTGAAAAAATTCTTGATATGTTCTTGCTTAAGAAATAGCAAAAAAAAAAAAAAAAAAAGTAAACATGTATATTAATTAATTTACAATTATAGTTAATTTATTATTTAGCCAGACAGAAGCAATTTAATATTAATTAAAGCACAATTTGAAAAACATTCCTTGATATGATTCTTTATTGCTTAAGAAATAGGCAAAAAAAAAAAAAAAAAAAAAAAGGGCAAATGTCTGTAATAAAAAAAAAAAAAAAAAAAAAAGGGCAAATGTCTGTAATACATGGTCAAATCATTAATATCTTGATTTGCCTGAATACCAACAATCTTTGTTAGTCTAAACATCAACAATGTCTTTTGAACTCAAACAACTAATGGGAAATACAAATATTACAATAAGCACTAATTTAATAAAATAAATTATAATAATGAATTAATATAAAATATAAATATCATTTAAAAATTAATTAATAAATATAATCTAATAATGATTTAAATGAATTGTAAAAAAATAAAGACAAAATAACTTTTCATTAAAGTTAATTATTGATATATTTTTTTAATTTAAGATAATAATATCCTAACTTTTTATTTACATGGAAGTGTAACCTTTTCACTCACCACCTTAGACGGAAATTTATTTTTTCAACATTTATAAATTTAAAGATTTTATTTTTACCATGCATATAAGTTATAATCTAAATAATTTTCATATTAATAATAATTAATTTTCTCCGATATCTCAAAATGCTTAAAGCGAAATTTTTATTATCTAATTTATTATCAAATTAAATAAATATAACATGGTGTATAAATTAAGTACAACATAAAATTTGTGATTTTGATCATTCAAAATTTATTTTTCATAAGGTTTCTATATTAAAAAAAAAATTCTAATATTAGCCAAAGAACAATTAAGGTGATTTGATGTGACTAATATGATTAGAGAATTTTTAATTTTGTCACGCCCAACTAAATTAATAGTAATTTATTTTTGATTAAAAATTTAGCTTCTCATATAAAAAAGAATTTTTTATTTTAGAAAAAAAAAAGATTTCAATTAATAAAAAACTCGCCTAAATAAATAAATACACAAAACTATTTAAATTCGCTTAAAATATCATCTCAAAAGCTACAGCAAGCAACAACAAGACACAGGCATCCGTGAAGCTGGAACTTGGAAGGATTGATGATGGGGTCATCATTATCATCACCAGCTCCTTTGCCACTCTGGTGGATACAACTACAAGACGGACCTACGCCGGTTAATCTCATTACCACCGCCGCTTCATTCCGCCTGGGCTTCCTCCTCCACTCCCCCAAGGTATCCGTGTGTGTCCTTTTCTTATTTGTGGCTTAAATTTGATGACTTCAAAATGATTGCTTCTATTCAATTGAAGTATTTGTGACAAAGTTTAATTGGGTATGGTCTATTCTGTCTAATTTTGTTGATGGGTTAGTTATATCCAAAAAAAAGAATGGGAGATATAGCCTAAATAAAGTAATTATTTTACAAAGATTGCTGTTTTTTCCCTTTGCTTGGTATAGTTTGTATAAAATGATTTAACTCTCATTTTGTATAAACTCGTTGAGATATAAATTTTAAGGCTTTTTTATCATGCCTACCCTGCCTTGTAGAATAGAAGGAAGTTTTCTTTTTAAATTGAACTCATTGGATTGGATTATAAATTTAATTTCTCTGATGATGTTGTTGAGCTGCTATTATTGAATTGAATCTTTCAGTGAACCTCCTTATCATCTCTGATAGGAAAAGATATTTAAAAGATAAACATACAAACAAACCATTTTTACGAATACTAAGTTTCCTTTTCTTACCATTAGCTTAATCATCGGAGACAGCTACATGTTGAAAAATGGAGTTTTGAGGCTTAGCAACCACTTAATATGCCATCACATGCTGATATTTGAGTATCTCTAAGTTATTTTTCCTCCTGTCTCCACTATTGTACAGAGACTCTCTCATCTCAATTGTGTGCCTAAATTGAAGGACATATGGTCTGAAAAAGCATCCCAATTAAATGGAATCGATTTTCTTCAAATTCCAAATGATATTTTTGCATCCACATGCTCATATTGGTCATATTTCTTTAATGGCGGAGAAGCTGGAAAAGGCCGTGGAATTGAGGGATTGTCACAACCAGAGACATCTAGTAGAAATTCATTCAATGGAAGGAAATGGACAAATATTCTTCTTGCTGTTAATGTCTTGTAGGTACCAAAATAACGTTTTACTTCCTAATGTTTACAATATTTCCAGAGTAAAAACATGTGTTTTACTAGCTATCCTTGCATGCAGAGTTTATGTTGCACAAATTGCTACACAGGGAAAGCTAATGTTGTGGGGAGCTAAGGTTAGACACTTAGAGAGCAAAAGATAATGTAGGCAAGTGTGCTGTTCGATATTCAAATTCCCGAAATAGGAGATCTTTATTAGTCAATTCATAATGTTTACAGATTAATAGTCTCATTGACAAGGGACAATTTTGGAGACTGGCTACTTCATCCCTTTTGCATGCAAATATTGGGCACCTTATGGTTTGTTCTTTGTTTTCTGACTTTGAATTTCTCCATGGATAATTGTCCTTTACCAATCTAAAAAGAAATTCATCTTTCCAGGTCAATTGTTATTCCTTGAACTCTATTGGTCCTACAATTGAGAGCCTTAGTGGTGCAAGGAGATATCTTGCAGTTTACTTTGCATCTGCAATTGCAAGTAACCATCATAAACCCACTTCAATGAAAAAGTGAAAATGCTTTCTCACTCTTTCTCTAATCAAATTCTTATTAGAAATTCAGGTTCAGCCGCAAGTTATTGGTTCTGTAAAGCACCTGCTGTGGGCGCCTCAGGAGCTATCTTTGGATTAGTAGGCCATCCTAATACCTATTCTAAAAGCATTCTTGTCATATTTAGCTCATGATAGACTTATGTATGCCTGAGTGTGTATGTCTAGCTACATGGTTGAAAAGATCACATTTGCGTTAATTACCACACCATATATGTAATATTTATTGCGAGGTGGGGAACTTGCTGTTGGTATCTGTCTAACTTACATGAATGAAAATATTTCTCACCTTAAGATTAAATCTTCCAAATCCTTGACAATTCAAGAGCAGAGGTGTTTAAGGGAACCGCTTTTGTGATAGGAATTTTCTTGGGTTTTATTTGATGCAATAGGATAATATATACGTATACAATTCTAATGTGTTTGTTTCTCCTCCTGTTTACTGTTAACTTAGCTATACTTAATTGACTACCACAGAGTTTTGATTTGCAAAGTGAGAAAGACAAAATGAGTGAAAATATAAAAAGGAATAACAATGGAGAAATAAGGGAGAAAAGGCAGTAACATTTACCGTGCTGTTATTAAAAAATCATTTCTTTGACCTGTAAATGGGAAGGCATCAGGATCTTCAATTTATTACGCTATCAAGTGATAAAAAGTTCCTTAAGCTAATCATTTTCATCACAGTTTATTATTTGACATATTGATATTCTCTTTTAGGTTGGATCTCTTGCTGTATTTGTTGTGAGACATAGACGCATAGTCAAAGGTGGCAAGGATGAACTATTGCACATAGCACAAGTGATAGCACTAAATATGGTATGATTTAAGCCTTCTGCAGAAAATTGGGGAGTGATTTATCAACCAGTAGAAATATGTTATACTAATTAAAGCCTATGAAATGTAGTACACTGGTTTAATTTCTGTGGATTTTGATGTCAAATTGAAATTGGATGTATGACTTGGTCTTGGTCCATTTCCACGTGGAATTTTCTATGTATAATCTAGTCATCTAGAAATGCTTGAAGCAGTTCTAATAAGTGGTAATGATCCTCTTTCATGCAGGTTATTGGTGTATTGTCCAGGGGCATTGACAATTGGGGACATGTAAGTATCACATGTGTGCTTTCTTTCTTATCGTTTTTTTCCTACGATTTCGTATCTAAATCCACGGATGAGTATAGAAGATAATAAAGCTTTTAGTGAGAACTTCAAGGGATTTTCAATTTTGCATTTTAAGATCGGAATTTACAACCAAGGAGGGTCTGTGAAATTGATTTGGAGAGAGATGGGGGAAAGGATGGATGTGCATGTATAAATTCTCCCCTAAACTTGAGTTTTTTTCTTGGTTTTGGTTAAGAGTCCAAAACGGATTTTAATGTGAAGGCATGTTATTTCAGAAAGTTGGTATTTTTCTTTTATTATAATTTCAGTTAGGGGGCTTGCTTGGTGGAATTGCCACATCATGGTTTATAGGACCTGCCTGGAAGTACGAGTCTCTAGCAAATGGTCGAAGAATTTTTGTGGACAGGGCACCCATTAAGTATCTTACGAAGTAGAAATGGAGATAGTGTACATTGTACATCTCAGCTGGGTTGTTTATTTCATTGCAGTATCTTAACTATTGTTGATTGTAAATCAGAAAGATTACCAGTGTAGCTAAGAGTATGGTAAAAGTTATACGGTAAATTTTTGAATTTTGAGATGATTGTTCTAAGATGTAATGTATTACATAATTGGCAATCTTATTAATATTGAAATTAAATTCCCCCTCTTGGATTATTTAATTTCTAATTTTTAACCACTCTACATCAGTATTTAAATGCATCCTTCAGCGTTTTTCCTCTATTTTTATCAAGAAATCAGAACACGAAATCTCCAAGATAAATTTCATTTGAAAATGTATTCTATCTCTACAAATCTATTATATGACACTAGTTTCTCCATTACAACTATAGCTTAACATTGTATTGCAGATGCTCAAAAGGAACACCATGTATTTTACACTTGGAACATACAGAAATGGTTCTTGAAATCTGCAATGCAATGTTGATTTCTTGAGTCTAGAGGTTGCTCCCTTTGAGAAGAACCTCTAATGTTTCACTTTAACATCAGGAAACTAGAAGTGAGATGCCAGGCCTGCCACCTTCTTGGCTTTGACCAGTGATTCATCCTTTGTTTCATTTACATTTATGTCAATTGCCTGAAGAAAAAAAAAAAAAAACATGAAAAACTTCTGAACTTTCCACAGAAGTTTCTATCATTCTCGCCGGAGCAAAACTGGGTATCAAACATCTTGTAACTGTGCCTCAGAAACTGTCTCCGGTACTGTGATTAGGAAATTTACTGTCAATATTGCCAACAAAAAAGATAGAAGATCAAGACTCCAGAAAATCCCAACCATGAGAGCTCCCTGTAGAAAGGTTTTGCCGCTACAGCTGCCAAACCATGCAACTATATCAGTACAATAAGAAAAGCAAGATCTGAAGTATACTCGCATCATAATAACGCACAAATTTACCCATACCCATAGGCTCACAGACTATATAACAAAATGAAGGAAAACACAAAAACAACAGATGCAGAATATTGTTTCATAAAGCATAGAGTAAAAACTTTTTAACTTATTTTCATAGCAAATCACTCATTTCCAAACCAAGAATTACTCACATTCATAGTTTAACCAAGGAAAGAAACATAGCGAGTCAAAGAAGAAACATGTTGACATTTTTATTGTTAACCGTATCATGGTAAAGCATAGAAGCCAATAAGAGTATCATGGTAAGGCATAGAAGCCAATAAGTCATAATTTGGAAGCAGTAACTTACATGTTGGAGATAACGCAGATGGAGATGGAGCAAGCAATTGAGCTACTGAACCTTTCCTTGGATTATTGAAGGATGCTTGAGGCGAAGGGGACATGTCTGGGGGCAGCTGTGATGGAGGATCTGCTGGATGTAAGTAAGGACTCAGGTTAGAACGAGAAGGTGATGGGCTTGGAGAAACTGGAGAACCATGGTATCCACATGGTTGAGGAGGTTCAGCTGTTACAGTGGAATGAACTGGAGAATTTACAGGAGATAAAGAATTGTCAGGCCCACTTTTTGGGCTTGTGGTCGGAGAAGCTGCAGGAGAGATTGATGGAGAAATAGTAGGACAGGGAGAAGTTGGAGGTTCAGAATAATCATTGAGCTCTGGAGATGGTGCTGGTGAAGGAGTTGGAGGGTTTGCATGAAGCGTTTCTTTCAAATATGATGATAAAATAACACTCTTTACTTTACCAAAAACTGAGTTATCAAGGCCAAGATTCTTTGAAGGAGAATCTGTAATTGTTTGGGCCAACTGTCTCAATCTCAGTGGTAGAAGGCTCCCAAGATCTGACACTACAGAAGCCTGAACAGTGACTGGGGAATCAATTGTGGAACCAGCTGTGTTTGTTATTTGCACAATTACATTCTGCATAACAAGGCGGAAAAAAAATTACAAGGAAATCGGACAGCCAGTATCACAATACAACTTATTTATAGGCAGAAATGCTATCTTTTATCCACTAGAACTGATGCAGTTTATTAGAAGCTAATTATCAGGATCAGTGACATTACTTCTGTTCAAAAAACTGGGGACATATACACATTATTGACTAGATAGTTTAAGTCTTTAAGATAATTCACTTTTTTCATGAATTATCCACATTTCTAATGTCTTCCATTTTCTCAATCAAGTTAACAAGGCTTCATTATCAATCTTGAATTGAGAAATTACTCTTGAATAGGTTTAATATTTGGTAATGTAATTTCAATTCATCAAAATATTAAGAGAACAAGACCTAAATCCATAGTTTCAGTTTTCAAACAATCACAGATCGCCAGACATGAGAAGTAAAACATGTACAATGTTAATATAAAAAAAAAAAAATGCAATACCTCGTAAGGTCTGAGGTGCAGTCCAAACTTCAATTGATTCCTCAACTCTGCCAGATTATACAGTATTTCAGCTATGGAATTATTGAGGGTAAACTTAAAGAGGATCTGGGGCCTCTGCCAAATGGAAGCATAGGCTACCGGGATAACAGTAATCCCCCCAGAAAACTTTAAAATCTGAAACATAGAGGGCTGCCCAAAAATTGAGGTTGTCAGAGTCAGATTGGATTCCCGAAGGAACACCTCAATTAAAGATGACCTCAGCACACTTAGGGACACTTGATTTATAGGAACTTGTATTGAGTTAGAAAGAACACCAAACACCACCTCAGTCCAGTTAGATGCACCTGACTGGTGCATGGATAGGACAGCCACCTGTTAAGAAGAAATAGACTAGATTCAACTTCCAATTACATTTTAGAACACAAGGTATACAATGTGATATAATTGCAGAAGCTGGAAGAAAGACCTTTGCTCCCGGCACGCCTATTTCATCGTTGATATCATATTCTAGTCTGTCAATGTGTTGAACAACCTGTGAAACTGGCTTTTGCAGTCTAAAGTATACTTGTACTGCAGCTGGGAATAAGAAATAGGTGATGTCAGTGCCAGAGTATGTACCAAATTACTCCTATAAGAAATAAGTAAATTAACAATTCCAGATAAAGAGTTTAATAGGAATGCAATACAAGTGGTCCACATCAAATATACATGACAATTAGAAATTTCAATCCCAAAATGCATTTCCCAGAAAATATTAGAAATTTATGCTTTCATTTATTGTAGAATATTTGGAAAAAAAATTCGAAGATTACTTTAGAAAATCTTTTAGGGTCCATATGAAAATATGGATAATTTGAAATGAAAGTCGATTTGGATTTGAGTTTCAAGTTCAAACTCATAAAAATAGGCATGATGTCAAATTTCAAATTATCATTTCAAATTGCTAGCGACCAAATGGATTGTTGCAGTATTGAAGGAAGATCGCATCATAAATGTGCAGTAAACTAAGTAGCCAGTAAACCACAATCTGGAACAAAAGATTGTTAACTTTTAAAAAATGAACAGAAAATTTTATATACCACAAGGGAATACATAAAACTTTTGAACCAATTTGCAATTATTTCTTTCATTGTATACTTACAAATAGTGGGGTTGTATTCAATTAACAAACATGATCTCGATAAGTTGAAGAACAATACTAGAAGAAAGAATCAAACAAGAATCAGAGCATGATATTCATCAAACTTGATCCAAAATCGAATCCCTTAAGGTTCACAAGAAATACATGTACCATATCCACCCCAAATGGAAAATGCTAGAATGTAGATCTCACAATATCATTTATAGCTTTTTTTCAAAAATTGGATAGCAAATGGATATAGAATCAAATTCTAAACCACAAATCATATGGAGATGAGATTTTTCTTTTTGGGCTATGTACTGTCATCCTAAAACCAAAAATACATAAATACGAGTGCATGCATCTATTCCTAGATAGATCTACCAAAGAGCTCGAGAGAGAGGATCAAGAAACCTTTCAATGAAGTGGAATGGATTCATCAACCTGTGAACAATCAGAGGATTTTAATTGTATCCAACAGATGGCTGAGCACTTAAGAGGATAGATAGAAAGGTTAAAGTTTGCAAGTTCTAATCACCACCTTGAAATAAATCTGTAAGCGGATAGTCATCTTGATAGATCTAAAAAGTAAAGCTATTCTTTGGTCATGGTATAAATTGCCTGTTATATGATACCTTGTTCAAAGCTAGAAGTTGTTATCAACACAAAAATGAAGTTACAATAAACAGTTGGCCTCAGAATTTAACTTAATGCACACAATCAATAAAGATGGGAAATACCCTAAATTAGCCAAACACATGAATGGCATCATCTTTCTATAGAATTCGACCATAGACACACTTTTCAATAGAATAAAAGTGGAGTCAAACCTTGGAGATTACCAAAGAGTGTAAAGCATAGCTTACTCTCTTCTACTATCAGATCAACTTATACCAGGACAACTAGAAACTTCTCATGATCTCGTCACAACAATCTAAAGTCCAACCAAAAAAAGGAAAACAAGAAACAATACAAATCCCTAATCAGAGATGAAAAGGCAAAACACTGTATATCCATGTATGACCTAAAAATCATAAGAGAAAACCCATCTAACTTAACAAGGAGCGAATTATTACATTGGAAAGATGGCTAACATGATGAGCTACAGACACAACATACCACAATGTAAACATCCTCAATTGAAAACACCAATTACACTGAAAACCCATTTATACTAATAGGTATAGAATCTTAATTACACAATAAAAGAGCAAAACAACGAATACACGTTAAGAATAAAAGGAACCCTAATTGCACACAAAAAGAAAACTCTAGACACAAGATATTCACATGCCCAAAATGATAAACAACACTAAAATTAAACAAAATTACTAAACAATTAAACATGAAAAGATAAATAAAAAGGATAAGAAGCGCACCACTGAACTTAATCGAATCTTTAGCATCGAAACCATCTAATTTTGCTGTATGGGAAGGGAGGATCCAGAAGATCCCAGAGACCAAAAGAGATAAACTGAGAATCAAAACGAAAAAACACCTAAAACTAAAATCCTTATATATTCTTGATAATCCCATGGAACATCTCTCACAGAAAATACCCGAAGAACCTCCTTCCCTTCCTCCTCCGTTTCCATTCTCGTAGCTCTGCCATTGCTGCAGATTTTGCTGCGCTTCTTTCCCCATTGCAAGAGCATCTGGAACCGAAAGCACTCACTCTCTCTCTCTCTCTCTCGCTCCCTAAAAAGAAGTTCAAAATTGAGAAGATGAGAGACAAGTGTTCATGGTAGGCATTTGGCCTCTCTGTATTAACTACATAACCCACTTTTCTCGTGTATTCTATTCCCCTTTCACTAATCACATTCACTACAACTCTTCTTTAAGCATCTACTCTTTCTCTCTCTAGATATTCTCTGCTGCCTGTCGCCAGTACAGTAAACGCCGCATGCTTACGTGGACCAATTTGCACCCTTGATATTACATGGAAATCACGCGTTTTTAACATCAACTGTCCAGATCTGTCATGTGCATTGTCTATTATGCATGATAGATAGTAGCATATAATTATGAATTTTTTAAATGTTTTTCAAATTGGTGGCTTTTTTTTTTTTTTTTTTTTTTGTACAGTAAACGCCGCATGCTTACGTGGAACCAATTTACACCCTTGATATTTACATGGAAGAATCACCGTTTTTTAACATCAACTGTCCAGATCTGTCATGTGCATTTGTTCTTTATGCATGATAGATAGTAGCATATAATTATGAATTTTTTTTAAAATGTTTTTTCAAATTGGTGGCTTTTTCCTTTTTTTTTTTTTAATTAGGAATTTGCTAGTAGTTGGTTTTTTTTAGGGCTACCCCAACGTTGAGGAGAAGCAAAGGTTGAAAGGGAAAGTGAGAGAGAGGATTGGGATATGATCAATTAGATATAAAGTTGAAGTGAGTGACTAATAAAGTTCAAAAAATAAAATACAATGAGTGGGAATTGATTAGATGATAAGAGTGGGAAATGTTGTTTCATTTCTTTTGGTTGCAATAGGGTTTTTTTAAATTCAAATGTTGGTTGTGGACTAAACTTTTCAATATATTTTCTTTACCCTTTTGGATTAATTCATAAAAAAAGAAATTGATTAATAATAGTTTTTTTTTTTTTCCGTTTGTGAGTTAACATTATGCGACATAAAAACTTTTACTTCATCTTTATCCTTAAAATATAAATCATTTTGGAACTGATTTACAGATTTAATAATTTTTTAAGCCGCATCATGTGTAGTCTGATTGGTCCATAACAAAAGTTCATATTTTTAAAACGAAAAAATAATTATTAGTTAAACAAAGATTATGCATATATGATGTTTGCTTTGATTATTTCAAATTGACAAGTTTAGAACTTAGGTTTTAAGAACTTTATTTCTTTTATTTCGTCATGCTAAAAAATCTTGGTAAATCATTGTAATTCGCAAAAAATATATATCGAATTTCTATTATATATCTTCGAAAATGCACCCAAATATATTATTATATTATTGTAGTTGTCGTCGTCGGTAAAACAACCGATGCTTAAAATTAAGAATTTCATCGATTTAATTTTTGTTTACTAAAATTAGACAAAAAATAAATGAAAATTTAAGTAATATATTTATCATCCTAATGGGCACTTATTTGGGAAAATCAAAAGTTCCAAAAGGAAAAACACCCAACAATTTTTATTTGGAGGGTAATTAATTTAGGGATGTTTTATTCCTTTGGTAAAAGTTTTTTTCGAAATTTAATAAAGGAAAAAAAAAAAGGGGGCATTTTTGAATCTTTTTTTTTTTCCCTTCCCCCTCCCCCTTTTTTTTTTTTTTTTTTTTTTTTTTTTTTTTTTTTGTTTTTTTTTTTTTTT